AAAAGTTAGTTATTGTAGTTTTGGCTGCTGTATCTGACCCATGCATCAACAGTTTACTGCAGTTTGTGTCAATAATCATCAATCAAATCTGAGCAATCAGACATGATGCACATATTGTTAGATTCAGTATGAATTACACTTTCTGAAGACATCATTATCTCCAATCTCCTTCGCAAATAGTGTTTTCTGTACATTCATGGGCACACTGCACACAGCTCATTCAGCTTGTTTTTAATGGTGCTAATTTGCCAAAATGTGAACGAATGGACAAAAATACAAAAAAAAACCCCAAAAGTTCCAACTTTGAAAAACCCTGATAGAGTTTAGATGCAGTGTTTCCTTTGGTTTATGCAGCCCTAAACCCTAGGTCACCTTGTTTACAGGGATTTATTTTATCAGTGGAGTGTTTAATCAATTACTTCAGCTCACATGGCCACGAAAGGAATAAAAATGTCATTCATGCTGAGACCACAAAATCACCCCACACAGTATTAAGGTGTGTTTAATAGTAATAAGACTTTAGCAGAAGGGTGAAAAGAGGTAATTAGCCAGGTAAGAAAGTGAAAATTCATCCTTGCAAGGACACACAAGTAGCGGTGCTTTAGACCAGCTGGGGACATGGGCCCACTTAGGAAATTGTGTGGTGAAGAATTTGGTATAAGTCTTTGAGTGCTGGAGGTCAGAGCCAAAGCAATGCTTTGTTTGCTACACCAACGGGAGAAGGAACTGCATCCTTGGATAGCCTGCAGCAACATTTAATAATGGGCTGAAGTAAGTGGAAATATGTAGTCGCCCTGAAGAAAGCTGTTTTACTGTCAAGTATATGATCCATATTATTTAGCTTTTTTTTTCATATGATGAGATTTTATTTATCAAGCTGTTTCTTGAAGTGCAACATTTTCTTTCCTCCTCTTTCTGTCTCCTCTGCCTCTCTGTGTCTTGATCTTCACTACGAGGCAGCTCTGATGGTTTTTCATATTCTGCTACGCTGCAGTACGTTTCACAATCAAATGCCTGCACTGCTTCACTTGTGCGAACAGACCCATTCAGATTCCATGCATGTACACAGGACACACACACACACACACACACACACACACACACACACAAATGTGCTGCAAACTGATAGCAGATTCTCCTATTTGTCTCAGTGAGAATGAGTGAGACATGAGGGGAAGAGGTGGTTTGAGACACTGAAAAATAATGAGGGATAAAAGCGTAAAAGATACTGAGACAGAAAAAAAAGGCAGATTGAAAGTGATTCTGTGATGGAAATGCAAAGGTAGAGAGACAGAAAAAGGGGAAACATAGTCATAGTCATCTTACTAATGAGTTACTACCATTTTAACTGGTAAAATGAGGCTTATTGTAAAGTGAAACACATCACCATTTATTAATAAGTTACTATAAGGCTATAATTGATTCTGATTATCAGCAACATCTTGCATGGCCCTGAAGCATGTTACAGTGTTAAGTACTGTGGTTCTGATGAATTAGAGCTGGGAGCCACATACAGTTACTGTTGTACTCTGACTGACATGAACGCTCCTCTGTAAGGACTTAGTGCAGGCCATTTAAATACCTATGGTAGTGAAAGGAGTGCTGTGGAGACCTGGCATTGTATGGTCGATGTTCATCACCATGTGTAAATCCTCCTTCGGATGTTATTTGGGTTTCTCCAGGGGCAGAACAATGAAGTCCCAATCTTTAACGCGCCTACACAGTTTTGATTGGCTAGGTTGATTTTCCCGCCAGGAAAACAGGTGTCGGTGAGCGCAACACAGAAGCCACATGAATAACTGAACACACTGTAGATGTGGGCAGAGACGTAGATGGTGGAAAAGAGCCAGGATTTTATTTTCATTTTAGAGGGAAAAGCCCAGAATCACACCCACTGAGTTACAGAAGAAAGACATATCCCTGTTAATGCTCAAAGTGAAAGGTGAAAAATACTGAAAGGATTATTTTTACCACAGAATGACACAAAGAGAAGAGAAGAAAAGGAAATCCAGTCAGTGTTATCAAGGGAGGAGGAGAAGAAAGGACAAAGGGAAGAAAGAGAGGAGAAGGAAAGAGGGAAGACAGGATGAGGTGGAATAGGAAACAAAATGGATAAAAAAAAGAAAGTAAGGATAAAGGAAGGGATTCGGTGAAAGAATCAAATGAAAAGGTAGAAAGAATGACAGAAAGAAAGAATAGAGATAGAAAAAAGATTTGATAAACACTAATAAAATAGGAGTACAAGAGGGACTAAAAGAGAGCAAAGATTGACAGAAACCAAAATGGGGAAAATGACAGAGGTCCAAAGAAAAAAAAAACAGTAAAAGAAGAAGAAGAGGAGGAGAGTTGTGTGACAGAGAGGGAAGAGACAGAGAGAGGGTGACACAAGAAGATCAAAATAACCAAAGCCTGGTTACTGAATAGAGAGTAGAGCTGCTCACAGTGAGCGGCTGGGGAACTTTTACTTTAAAAGAGCAGCAGACAGCCCTTTAACCACTGCTTACTCCTGGGAAGCTTTTATTTTGAAAGAAGATCACAGAGGGCTTAGATAGGTAACTGCTTTGGGACTTTTAGTTTGAGACAAGATCAGAGCGCTCTCACTCAGAAAGCCTGTCACAGCGGTGCTGATGGATTAATCTCAGCTTTCTCTGCTAAACACATCTCTCAACAGGTTTCCTCTGACAGTGAGCAACACTGCAAATCAATACCAGACCTGAACACGAAGTAATAATAACAACTGTTTTCTTTTCCCACATTTTGCAATAAATGTTTGAAATCTTTCATTTCTGTGGTCTGGTTTGTACAGTGGCCCTGAGAGCAACTTAGCAAAACATCTTCATCAATCAAAAATCATCAATTTGCTGCAAAACAGGAACAAATACAGAAACGCGCTGCAAGTAGCACAGACGATAATGAAAGTGTTCGCAGGGGACACAAGAAAGTGATGAACCTTCCTGGGACTTGTTGTTCAGTGCTTTTAATTTCAAAAGTCACAAAGCATTGAAGTGTGTCCCAGCTGAATTCATCACTTCATTCTTTCCTCGTGAAACACTCTGTGCTATTTGCAGCGGATTTCTTTTAATTGTTTGTGTTGAGAGTAGGGATGCCGCCGATGCATATCATACATGATAGCGTATCATATAATACCCGCCTCACACCTTGTTCACTGCCACCAAAACGGCCGTGTGGAACTTTTACAAAGTGAGAGAGACTGATATAACGTACACCATCTGCAGTGCATGGCAAAAATGATCGGCTGTGGATCGGCTGATCTCACTCATAGATGATCTTTATCAGTATCAGCGTCAAGTATAACGTGATCACGTCATCCCTAGCTGCGAGTATTTGCAGCCGTTCTGTATTTGCTTGTGCTGTTGAGTATTTTCAGCATGTTTTTCTGTTTGGTTGTGCTGTGAGTATTTGTAGCACATTATTTGTCAAATTGATGGAGATTTTATTCTATTTGCATGTGTTTTTCTAAGTTGAGTTGTGTTGAGCTCTCAGAGCATCTATCCATCCTCCTAATGCAAACCAACAGCACGTCACCTGACTTCCTCCTTTGTCCCATCATAATAACGGCCAGTAGAGGTTGCCTAGCAAAAAACATAACTGGGTCATATTTTGTTGATCTGTTTAAAGTACTTCGTGACGTGGTTTTAGAAAAGTGCTCTAAAAGTAAAGATTATTATTGTAATCATATTAATAATTATCATAATAATAATAATGATGATAATAACTTATTATAAGCTGCTGCACAGACGACTTATGGGCTTGTTTTTTACAGTCTTGTGTCAAGAGTAGCTCCCAGCACAGCTTGAAGAAAAGTACAGTATTAAATGCTGTGATAGAATAAGCATTTTGTTTTTCTTTTGTGTGTGTGTTAATTCATTTTATTTCTCACCTGAGGAGCTCATCTCTCCAGCTGTGTCTTTTAATATTAGTAGTGTTATGGATACCATTATAGCTCAACACTAAATAGCCCACAATGAAGACACATCGACGCTCTATAGTAATGCTAACGTCACTGCTGCTAATGTTGATGAGGTATGGTGTTTACCAGGCACATTTTCAAATGAGCACTAAACATGACTTACAGCTTAGGCTAGAATTATGCTTCTGCAAATAAACACATAGATGTTTTATGGGGAACTTAGTTTGCAAAGGCTTGCAGAGAAGTCATGCACTCCTCCCTAGTCACAACAACACATCATCAAGAAAGCTGAGTGGCTGATGCGTCTCCTACCTCCACAGCTGCAGTGGACCTGTCTGTGGTGAACATCCTGAGCTTTCTGACCAGACACACTTTCTTTATTTTTTATTTGACTCTTTCCTTTGAGCAATGGACTTCATGGTGATCACAATGATCCAACCTCAAAAGATGTCAATAGACCTGACTACTTGAGCCCTGTGGTCAGGACTATTTGAGCTGTGTAATTGGACATCAAAATTCATTGAGTCACTAGAGGATTGAACCCACAACTTCAAAATATGAAAACAGTCTGCATGGTTTCCTCAGAGACGTATCAGCTGCATTTCTCTGTTTAGTTATGGGCCGTTTCACTCTCTTCTGAGAGTCTTCGTCTCTTTCCTTTGGGCCCTGCACTGCGTCTCTACGGTGGTGGTCCACTGTGGTGAGTGTGTATTGACTGGGAGGTCAAGATAGGTATGCAAGAACACACACATACACACACACACACACACACACACACACACACACACACACACACACACACACACACACACACACTGTGCTGTATTTCTGGGTCTCAACAGGAACTTGAATCAGACTCATCTAATGGGTCACTGCTGCCACCAACTGGTCAACAACAGAATATATTTCACAGAAATACTGATAATAATAACTTAGCGTAATGTATTGATAACATTATGGTGCCGGTACTGCTGCTCGTGCTGCCACTTTCAATCATCTTATTATAACTCACACTACCTCCTCTAGTGCTACTATCATAGAGTGTATGTCTCTTAGTGGATTTACTTACTTTGTTCGTTGCACTAATGAAAGCCAGATTTCAGATCCTTTTCCCTCATGAAGAAAACAGATGAGTTTATTTCACAGTGGTGTTTCACTACAGCTATTTGTGCAGTAATTGAGGGGGAATTGGTCTTTATTCCTGTATATGCAGAAGTTTTTTAAACCAGTTGAAAGTGTCTGATTTCTACTTAGGTGTGTGTAATAAATGTGTCCTTGTTGGTTAATTTCTTTATTTGTAAATAAAGTATTTTTCTAATATCTGTGTATATGTGCGTATGTCTCTCTCTCTCTTTCTCTCTCTTTATCTCTAGGTTCCAGTGTGTTTTTCTTTTGGTTCCTCCCTCTGCTGTCACGCTGCAGATCTTTTCTCCATCTGAAGCTTTGGTAAGTGACAGTTTTCAGTGTGTGAATGAATCCCAGCTGCTTTCTGCTCTCACCCTCAAATTTCGTGGGACTGTAAAATGCAGAGGTTGCACATGTTGGTGTGTGAAAAGCTGCAGTTTGTCTGGAGAAGAGCTCAGCTCTGTGCTAGCAGCTAGCCACCATGCTTATCAGCACAAACAGCAGAGGGAAGGCTGAAGGGGAGGAGGCCTGAGGAGTGGGTGGGAGGACTGAGGGACTGTCAATAAATTACTTGTCCAGATAAAACAGAATCTTTTTCATCTCACTAACTTATTAATGATATTTCAAACATCACAGTCCTGAAAGAATCTGCTTCTGGAGGAAGTATTCACAAAGTACCAGCACCACATGTACAAATACTTTATCAGCCAAAGTTGTGCTCTGAAAACTGAACTAAAAGTACGCAAGTATTATTATCCATGTTTTCATGGAAAGGTTTTTTCTGAAATGAAGTGTTCTGCGTTACAACAAGAGTCGTTCACTTCCACATCACACTTCCTGTTCTCTCCCATTGGGCAGGTCCTCACTTTCTTTGCTCTGTTTGCTTCGCTGTCTCGGCTGTTTATGTGATTTTCAGATACTTTAAACAAACGTGAGTTGCATGTACTGACAGTTTTACATCGAAGAGCTTCATGTTGATTTGTTTCCCTGCATAAATCTGTTTATCATTGCAGACGTTTGTGGGGGTGTGTAGCAGGCCTGCTGCGTTGAGACCATGTTTACCAGTGTGGGCCATTTAGTGATATTACTCATGATGTCACACTTGGTTTTCATTAGTGAACAATCTGCTGGCGATTTCTTTGTGAATCAGTGAATTGTGTTGTCTGTTAAAAGCCAGAATGAAGTGAGAAGCGCACTTAGCTTTTGTCGAGTCAGTAAATGATTCTGTTTACTGTCATTTAAAAGACAGAAAAGCTGCATATCTTCACCTTTAAGAAGCTGGTTTGGTATTTTATATGTAAATAACTGAAACCACTTCAACTCAGTTATCAAAGTGTTTGCTTCTTATTTTCATGTTGAATCAACAGCTCAATGTCTCTACTTTTATAGGTTTACAACAGTGCATCATATTTTATCAGCCCTTCACAGTGAATTCATAAAGTATTCAGACCCCTTCAATTTTTTTCACATTAGGTTATGTTGCTAAAATCAAAGCTAAAACTGAAATGTATTTCAGACCCTTTGCTATGGTTCTTGAAATTTAGCTCCTGATTACTGTTACATTATAGTATTAACTGCAACAATACAACTACTGTTACTAAGTCTTTACAGAAATAAAAGGCCTATGGGTCTGGAGCAGGGAGTTTATCAGCTGGGAAGCCTGACAGAAAAAGAATGGTTCCCCTTTGTTAGTGGTTAGGACTGAAGAACTGATGAGTCCCACCCAGGGATCATCATTGAGACCTGAATGTGACAGCTCCTCTGTCACATCTTTCTGTACTGAGCTGATCGTTAGCTCGTTAGATGGTCAGTTGCCACCATCTAGTGGACAGATTGTAGAACTACACCATCTGATGTGATTTCTTTGACACTAACTGGATTTCTTCCACAAGTTAGACTGGTTTTGACAGCACTCTGATGTTTTTTAGACTTGTACTCTGAAGTGATGAGGATGTGACTCCACCTGAGATCAAACACACATAGACACCACGACTGATGCTGGAGAATGAGCAGCTTCTCTCCAAATGTTTCTACATGAAGGTGGAAAACGTCTGTAAATCGACCTGAAATGAGTTCAGCAGGTGAGAATCTGTCAATGTCTGATGAATAGGATCACGGTGATCACATCGTGTTGTATCACTGTTTGAATGGACTGCAATAAAAACGTTTATAATGCCTAATGGAGGTTTAATATGAAAAATATTCTGAAGAACTTCTGTTGGAGTTAAAGGACGATGATTTGAGGAGTTTAAAAATAAACTTGTCAGTGATCTCTGAAGGACAAACTGTAGTAGAGACATTTTTTACTAAATGCCCTCAAATATATGTAGGTATCTAACACTTTTTCTATTGGGGCCCTGGGGCTGTTGGGTGCCTCTTTTCTCCAAATTTCATTTATGTGCTCCTACAGTGGAATATTTCCTGGCATCACATTTTCTGCATGTAAGTTAAGTTGTGTTATTAATTTGTTGTGTTTTCAATTTGATGAAAAATAACTTTATTTAGAAAACTGCATCATATTACAACATAAACAAAGAAAGGGATTTCCAACCAGGGGTACTTTTACCCTAGGGGATGCTCTTGCAGTTGATACAGGGTGTAGTCTAAGGTAAGGTAAGGTCAGGTAAATTAAGGTAAGGGGTAAGCATCTTCAATCTCTATTCAACCCCATACTCATTCAAACATTCACCTCGAAACTTCATTTAAACTTATGTAATTCATCACACCTTTACCAGTTTTCTGTCATTGCAGACATTTTTTTAAGAGTTTACAATGGGTAAAATGTATCTGGTAAATGCAAACACTAAAAAAACTGTAACCAGTTTTAGTACATTCTGCCATTATGTGATCAATGATCAGTCTCATATCACATGTGATATCTTAGAATACATTCCCAGGCCTGTAATGATTCCTCACATATACATTACACATTAACAGTCAAACAGGACTTGCACAATGTCTAATTTATACACCAAATTGTCAGTTACTTATGTGCAGCATACCGGACACATTTCACTCAATTTTCTTGACACCGATCATTAATCTTACTCTTACTTTCTTTAAGTTGTTATAAAAACTAAAATTAATTGAGGTACCTTAAAAGACCACTTTTTGAATCTTGGCAGGGAGAAAAATGGTGACACCTAAAGAGGTTCTCTTGGGAACTTTGGAGGATCTGGGAGAAGAGGACTTCAAAAAATTCAAGTGGTACCTGCGGGAGCAGGGGGTCCTGCAAGGCTTCCAGGCAATCCGAGAGAGTCGACTAGAAAATGCAGACCGGATGAACACAGTGGACCAGATGTTCCAGGCCTACTGTATTAACACTATTAAGGTGGTCAGAATGGTTTTAGGGAAGATGAAAAAGAATGACCTGGTAGAGAATTTATCAAAGTCCACCACAGAAGCTGCAGGTCAGTAAACAATGGATGTGACAAAGCAAAAAGTTTTATATTACACAGTCATGCATCAGATGTCATTTTCAGACAATGAAATTATAATTTATATGACAATGATAACAGATATAATGGAAATGCAGATATTAAATGCTGTTGAAAAAAAATGCCACCTTAAGATGGTGGAGAGGGTTGGGTATCCCAGTGACACTGGAAGCTGTATTGTTAGAGTAATAGCTCCTGGTACTCAAGACAAATTAGTTCCAGGTGAAGGTTCAGACCAAGAATGATTTCAGAACCCTTAAAATGTATGAACGTTGGAAGCAGGTTATCTCACCTGGATTAGGCAGACTGGACTGACCTGACTGACCTGGAGCCAGGCCTGATAAAGGGAGCTCAACAGCAAGCTCCTATTAGGTGAACCATTGTTGAAAAGCTGAACCCAAGGGTTGGGTGTGTGTCAACTGGGGAGCAGATAAAGGGTCTTGGTGCTTTGACTCCAGGCAAGGGATCAGTAAACCAGCTCTTCAGCCTTTCAATCTGTGAAAAAAAACAAAGGAAAGATTTTGCTTGAATGTCACAGTGAAGCAATATGCTGGATAACCTCAAGCTATAGGTTGTATCTTGGAGCATGACACAAACAGTATCTTGATCGAGGGCAAATTTGTTTAGTTAAAGTTAGAAATGTGCACACTTATCTGGCAATATTTTTGATGACTCACATTGTTATGTAATTTTTATCCCTTCAGCGATTCTTGCTGAGTGTCAGCATAAACTCAAATCCAACCTGAAGAAGAGGTTTGAAAGTGTGTTTGAGAAAATTACAAAAGCAGGAAATTCTAATTCTCTACATGAGATCTACACAGAGCTCTACATCATGATGGAAGAAACAGGAGAGGTCAACAAGGAACATGAGATCAGGCAGATTGAAAAAGCATCCTGGCAACCTGGAACTCTAAAAGCAGCCATCATATGTGAAAACATCTTTAAAGCCTCACCTGGGGGAGATGAACCAATCAGAACAGTGATGACAAAGGGAGTGGCTGGTATTGGGAAAACAGTCTTAACACAGAAGTTCACTCTGGACTGGGCTGAAGACAAAGCCAACCAGGACATACAGTTCACATTTCCATTCACCTTCAGAGAGCTGAATGTGCTGAAAGAGAAAAAGTTCAGCTTGGTGGAACTTGTTCATCACTTCTTTACTGAAACCAAAGAAGCAGGAATCTCCAGGTTTGATCAGTTCCAGGTTGTGTTCATCTTTGACGGTCTGGATGAGTGTCGACTTCCTCTGGACTTCCACAACACTGAGATCCTGACTGATGTTACAGAGTCCACCTCAGTGGACGTGCTGCTGACAAACCTCATCAGGGGGAAACTGCTTCCCTCTGCTCGCCTCTGGATAACCACACGACCTGCAGCAGCCAATCAGATCCCTCCTGAGTGTGTTGACATGGTGACAGAGGTCAGAGGGTTCACTGACCCACAGAAGGAGGAGTACTTCAGGAAGAAGTTCACAGATAAGGAACAAGCCAGCAGGATCATCTCCCACATCAAGACATCACGAAGCCTCCACATCATGTGCCACATCCCAGTCTTCTGCTGGATCACTGCTACAGTTCTGAAGGATGTGTTGAAAACCAGAGAGGGAGGAGAGCTGCCCAAGACCCTGACTGAGATGTACATCCACTTCCTGGTGGTTCAGTCCAAACTGAAGAACATCAAGTATCATGGAAGATCTGAGAGAGATCCACACTGGAGTCCAGAGAGCAGGACAATGATTGAGTCTCTGGGAAAACTGGCTTTTGAGCAGCTGCAGAAAGGAAACCTGATCTTCTATGAATCAGACCTGACAGAGTGTGGCATCGATATCACAGCAGCCTCAGTGTACTCAGGAGTGTTCACAGAAGCTTTTAAAGAGGTGAGAGGGCTGTACCAGGACAAGGTGTTCTGCTTTGTCCATCTGAGTGTTCAGGAGTTTCTGGCTGCTCTTCATGTCCATCTGACCTTCATCAACTCTGGAGTCAATCTGCTGTCAGAAGCAACATGGTGGTCTGAACTATTTAGAGACAAATCCAAATTCTCACGTCTTTATCAGATTGCTTTGGACAAGGCCTTAGAAAGTCCAAATGGACACCTGGACTTGTTCCTTCGCTTCCTCCTGGGTCTTTCAATAGAGTCCAATCAGACTCTTCTACGAGGTCTGCTGACACAGACAAGAAGTTGCTCAGACACCAATCAGAAAACAGTCCAGTACATCAAGAAAAAAATCAGTGAGAATCTGTCTCCAGAGAAAAGCATCAGCCTGTTCCACTGTCTGAATGAACTGAATGATCATTCTCTAGTGGAGGAGATCCAACAGTACGTGAGATCAGGAAGTCTCTCCACAGAGAAACTCTCTCCTGCTCAATGGTCAGCTCTGGTCTTCATCTTACTGTCATCAGAAAAAGATCTGGACATGTTTGACCTGAAGAAATACTCTGCTTCAGAGGAGGCTCTTCTGAGGCTTCTGCCAGTGATCAAAGCTTCCAACAAGGCTCTGTACGTTCCCATGTATCCATCCAGATTAATTGTGTCTTCATCTTTTGTCGAGACAAAATCCACATTTTTAAAATTGGTTTCTTTTGTTTTGCTGATTCCTCTTCAGACTGAGTGGCTGTAACCTCACAGAGAGAAGCTGTGAAGCTCTGTCCTCAGTTCTCAGCTCCCTGTCCTCTAATTTGAAAGAGCTGGAACTGAGTAACAACAACTTGCAGGATGTAGGAGTGAAGCTACTGTCTGCAGGACTGGAAAGTCCATGCTGTACAACGGAAGTTCTAAGGTAATTGTTAATTTTTTCAGTATTCATGACTTTCTGAGTAGTTACTTTCTCAAAAGATTCAGCATATGAATGTTTTTTCTGGAATTCCTCTTCAGACTGAGTGGTTGTAACCTCTCAGACAAAAGCTGTGACGTTCTGTCCTCAGTCCTAATCTCTCAGTTCTCTAGACTGAAAGAGTTGGACTTGAGTGACAACAACCTACAAGATTCAGGAGTCAACCTGCTGCTTGACAATCATAAACAGTGCAGACTGAAATTTCTCAGGTTAGATTTCAGCTGTTTTGTATTTCTGACTCGCTGACATTTGCTTAGTTTAAATTTTCAGCATGTGAATGCTTTTCTCTGGGATTCCTCTTTAGGTTGACTGGATGTGACCTCTCAAAGTTGAGCTGTTATACTTTGTCCTCAGTTCTAAGCTCTGAGTCCTCTAGTCTTAAGGAGCTGGACCTGAGTAACAACTACCTGCAGGATTGTGGGGTGGAGCTGCTGTCTGCTGGATTGGAGACTCCACACTGTACACTGAAAGGTCTCAGGTTAGTGTTTAGCTTTTTGTATTCATGACTGTCTGAGCTGTTGTTTACTTGAAATATTCAGTATATGAATGGTTTGTCTGGAATTCTTCCTCAGACTGAGTTGCTGTAACCTCTCAGAGAAAAGCTGTGAAGCTTTGTCCTCAGTTTTCAGCTCCCAGTCCTCTAGACTGAGAGAGCTGGACATGAGTAGAAACAACCTGCAGGACTCAGGAGTAAAGCTGTTGTCTGCTAAACTTGAGAATACATGGTGCAGACTGGAAAGTCTCAGGTTAGTGTTCAGGTATTTTTCATGTATGACTCAATAAAGTGTTATTTAATTAAAATAGGCAAAATGTGAATTGTTTCTCTGGAATTCCTCTCCAGGCTGAGTGGATGTTATCTCTCAAAAACAAGCTGTGACGCTCTGTCCTCAGTTCTCAGCTCCCAGTCCTCTAGTCTAAGAGAGCTCGACCTGAGTAGCAACAACCTCCGGGATTCAGGAGTGAAGCTGCTATCTGCTGGACTGGAGAGTCCACACTGCATAATACAACGTCTCAGGTTAATATTCAGATGTTTTGCTTTTATGACTCACTGAGCTGTTATTTACTTAAAATACAATGATAAAAGAGGTAATTGAAGCCTTAAAATTACCTGGTTCACTGCATTGGTTGGTCATAATATGTAATCTGATCTTCACCAAAGTCACAAATATAAACTAACACAGTGCGTTCATGTTAATATCACATAAACAATTATAATATTTTATCTTTGTTGAAGAAACTCATAAAGCATCCACAATGTTGGTGGAAAAAGTAAGTTATTTCTTGGATATCGTAACCGGTTGAACCCCTTGTGGCACCAAAACCCCCAAACAAGCCCTTCTAGTAGCTGCTGATCAGACCTGCACAATTTGGACCATTCTTCATGACAGAAGTGCTTAACGTCAACCATATTCCTAGGATGTCGGGTGTTAGCGGTTCTTGTTATGTCATTCTACAGCATGTGTACTGGATTAAGGTCTGGCACTGACTGGGCCACTCCAGAAGGAGGATTTTCTTTGTTTGAAGTCCTTCTGTGTAGATTTACTTGTGTTGTGTGTCTTTCCTGGGATTTCTCTTTAGATTGAACGGCTGTAAACTCTCAGAGAGAAGCTGCGGAGCTCTGTCCTCAGTTCTCAGTTTCCAGTCCTCTAGTCTGATAGAGCTTGACCTGAGTAAAAACAACCTGCTGGATTCAGGAGTGAAGGTGCTGTCTGCTGGACTGGAGAGTCAACACTGCAGACTGGAAACTCTCAGGTTCAGACTCATATTTTTGTAAACACTCAAGTTAAATGTAAGTTTTTTTAAAAATTATTTTCATGATCTTGCATTAAATGAAGTAGTAATATTGTTATGAAGACATATCCATACTCAGGAGATTGTCACCTGTGGGAGAAAGTTAGCACAAAGACTTTGACATTTATACCTTTGCTATGAATTGGTAGTCATCTGCATAGCAGCGATATGAGAAGCCATGCAAGTGTATAATGGGACCCAAGGAGGTGGTGGCCCATATAAGAGTGGTCCTTGGGGCATTCCTGTGGGTAGGGGATGGGATAAGGATGCTTGTGTCCTTGCCTATTCCTAACATGCTCCCTTTTTCTTAATTCTTCCTTGTCTGTATTTGATATGCTCTAATCTATAGTTTTTGGAACCTTATAATGGTGTGCTATCTTGGCTAGATCTCCCTTGAAAAGGAGATTTTAATCTCAAGGTACTTCCTGGTTAAATAGAGGTGAGAAAAAAACACTCGACAACTGCAGTGACTGGGGTTAGGCGCAGGTTGGTCCCACTGTTAAAACACATCATTTTTATTGTCCCACTCTATGTGTATTCCTGGTAGGGCATTTTTCAACATTTGTGTCAATTTCTCAGGAAATAGCCTGTGGATCTTGATGTGAAAAGTCAAGCATATTTATGGCATTGAGATCATGAGTTTACACAATTTGTTGGAAGAAAATGTTTTGCCATAGCGGAGCAATGTGTTATACTAAGTGCAATTGTAGTTACATATTTTATGGGGACATAAATAATAAACATAAATGTGAGGAATCAACCTGCTTTTGGACACAACATGACCTTTTGGAAACATGATTTTGTGTGTACGTGTGTGTGTGTGTGTGTGTGTGTGTGTGTGTGTGTGTGTGTGTAGTCTGTCATACTGTCTGGTCACAGAGAAAGGCTGTGCTTCTCTGGCCTCAGCTCTCAGCTCCAACCCCTCCCATCTAAGAGAGCTGGACCTGAGCTACAATCATCCAGGAGACTCAGGAGTGAAGCTGCTGTCGGCTGGACTGGAGGATCCACACTGGAGACTGGACACTCTCAGGTATGGACAGATGGACAGACAACAGCAGCTTTCACTGTTTCTCTATCTCTCTAACTGAGGAGCTCTGCTTCATGTTTCATGGTGGATATGAGTGAAGGTGGATGAAGTTGATTCTGACTTTGTTTCTTCCTCCAGGTTGGACCATTGTGGACCACAGAGAGTGAGACCTGGTCTGAGGAAGTGTGAGTGTTTTCACTGATTCTCCACCAAACTCTGATTCATGAGAACACAGCTGCACATGTTCCACTGGATTTTTACATCTTGACTGAAGTACAAAGTTTCTACAGAGTCTCATTCAGGATTCAGCTTCTGTTTTTTGTCAGTGTGGTTGGAGAGATGTTAGAATTCAATCAATCAATTTCAAATCCACAATCACAACAAACTGAACGCAGTGATCCTACAAAAACGAATTATTCAGTTTTATCAACAGTGGAGCCAACAGAAAACTGACATTGTTCTTCTTTTTTTTTACTGTCACTGATTTTATAGAAGAGTTTTGTTGCCTTCAGGTACTGCTTGTAAGCTTGTACTTTACAGGTTTGACTGATATAAGTTGTGTTCCGGAAGCTTTCAGTTTTATTCTCTGGATGTGTTTAATAAATCAATAAAATCTAAGTCATGAACACAATGTCACAAAGATGTTGAAAATGGCAGACCTGGGGACAGATATTTGACACATTTTCACAAACACCAGACATGCTCCATTTTTCATACATTAATTTGTGTTTCTAACAGAATATGTGCATGTTACACAGACCTCAGATCAGCCTACACATGGTTTTCTAGAGCTGGCTGCAGCTGAGAAACAGTTTTAGAAAGCAGATTGTTCAGAGCTTCTTTGTGCTGCAGTGGAAGATGAGCCAGTTTCATTAGTGAGACTTTATTCACTACATGTGTTTATTGATGTGGATCTCCATTAGCCGTCATCCTCAGGTCCACAGCAGAAAAACAGCAGAACATTGCTGACATCTTGACTCTCATGTTCAGTAACTGTTGATGGTGTTAAAACTGGATTGTTGGATTTTAATTTAAATGTAGTCAAACATTATTCACAGTTGAATATGAAATGTAAGTTTGAATGATTCACTTTAAGTAATTGTCAGTAAAGTTGCTGATAAATCAACAGATGATAAACTGCAGCTGTGTTGTGTCTTGTTCTCTCCATCAGACGCCTGTGAACTGGAACTGGACACAAACACAGTAAATGGAAACCTCAAACTCTCTGACAACAACAGGAAGGTGACATGTGTGAGGGCAACACAAGCATTTAATCCAAACCAACGTGATCAACCAGTTCCAATGGACTACTGGTCTCAGCTGCTGTGTAGAAATGGTCTGACTGGTCGCTGTTACTGGGAGGTCGAGTGGAGAGGAGATGTTCATATATCAGTGATTTACAGAAGAATCAGAAGGAAAAGAGTCAGTGAAGAATGTTTGTTTGGAGGAAATGATCAATCCTGGAGACTGAGCTGCTCTGATGTTCTTGGTTACTCTGTCTGGCACAACAACAGACAAAAATCCGTCTCCTTCCCTTCACCCTCATCCTCCTCCCCCTCCTCCTCCTTCTCCTCCTCCTCCTCCTCCTCCTGCTCCTCCGTTTGTCACAGAGTAGCAGCGTATGTGGACTGTCCTGCTGGTACTCTGTCCTTCTACAGCGTCTCCTATAACAGACTGATCCACCTCCACACCTTCAACACCACATTCAATCAACCTCTGTATCCTGGGTTCAGGATCTGTCCTGGTTCCTCAGTGTGTCTGTGTCGTCTGTAGGTCTGAGAGTCTCTGCTGTGGACAGAAACTCTGCTGACAGTTGACTGTTCACCATGACACACACTGCTCTGTGAAGCAGATCTGTCTTAGACTCAGACACGAAACATTCATTTGTCTGATTTCATCACTTTGATGATCAACATTTCAACACTTTTGTAAAATGATTTTCATTCATTCTCATTTTTTTTGTCTCAGTTCCTGAATGTAAAGGAAACATTTCTACTGGCAGCAACATATTTTAACTGATTTATTATTGGAGTTAAAATGTTTACATATTCAGTTTGTAGATTCAGGATTTAATCCATGTTGGGATTAAAAAATCACCTGATTTGTAAAAATGTAGAAATCAGCACAAATGTTTGAGAGAAAGTGGAAATGAACTAAATATATTTCACATCAAACTGTACAGTTTCTAAGTAAAATCTGATGATTAGTGAAAGACACAGACTCTCCTCTTCTCTCAGAATATATTCTCCATGATGCAGGTCACTCAGAAAAATCTTTATCAATAAAGAAATTTGTTTCTGCTTCTGTTATTAATCCGACCTACAGATCCACTGTTTTTAATCTGATGCTGAATCTGAAAAACCAGTCAAATCTAAACCTGTGATCCATGTGAATCTACTGAATCTGTTATAAGTCCACTTCTACAGTGGCCCAGACGGGTCAACACAATACAAAAGCCACAACATGAATACAAACAAAGTCACAACAGGAGTTAAGCCACAATGGAAATGAGCAGCGGTCCAGCTCTACTATTACCATAACAATAAATATGAAAATGAAAAAAAGTATGATAAATGTTCATAAATATGAAAATATAAATACATTAAAAAACATTACTGATTTGTGACAATCACATAGCGACATGACAGTAATCAGTTATCTAGCAACAACATTTCACTTAGGTGTCTGCTGCTTCATAAATTTTCCCAGTCTATACCAGCCGAGAGAGTCCTGATATCTGAGTGGTTCAGGAGCCATTTTCTGAGCAGCGAGTCTCTGGTTCAAATCCCAGCCAGCCACACTTCTTCCTGCATGTCATTCCCCTTCTCTTTGTCCCTAAATTTTCTGTCTCTACACTGTCCTGTCAAATAAAGGTATTTGTTTTTGTGTTTTTACTGCTTTTACTGTGTGAACTCTGCTGAAGAAGCAGAGACAGGGACAGGAACTTGACTGTACTAGCTGATGAAAGAGCCTGTTTGACGCTCCTGGCTGGGCTGGACCTCTGTTACAGGTGATGGATCTGACCGGACTTCAGCTGGACATCCTGCTCCTCTGGCTGCTGGTAACTGTTGATATAACAAATCAGCTACAAAAATTTTCTATAAGGACATAAATTCTCCTTTTTGGATCAATGCTGATGTGAATCTGGACTTGTTAAAGTAATAAGTGCTATGTTTTTGTACAGTCTAAGACAAAATTGAATTTTCTCTCTCTCTTTTTTTCTTTCACATCCTTATATTTCTCACAATGTTGCAGGAAATGGGAACATAGCCTGGCCTCCCTGGGCAACTTGTTCCTCCTGTGAAGGCCTCTCTCTCTCTCTCTCTCTCTCTCTCTCTCTCTGGTTATTTCCTGATTGCAGTTATTGTTTTTTTTATTTCACCGTCTCCTGTCATGCTGCAGATCTTTTCTCCATGTGAGGCTTTGGTAAGTGACAGTTTTCATCGTGTTGGGTCGTTCGAACTACAACACTGTGTCATATTTTATCAACTCTGGATGTAAAATCTTTATTTTTGAAGTAACTAGTAACTATATCTGTCAGATAAATGTAAGTAAGAAGTTTAATATTTCCCTCTGAAATGTGTTGGAAAAAAGTACAAAGTATTTCCATTAAATGTATCGTAGAAATAGGACTAGGAATACACTATGGAATAGGACAAATGCTGCTGTTATCAGTATTAATGTAACGTTAGCTAAAATATAAGTTAATTAACATAGTGACATTTTCAAATGAGTTTGTAGGCCTCTGATTGGCTAAGATGAGTGTCATTCTATGCTCTCCATTCATCATGGCTGACAGGATTGAACTTTCAAGGGTGTGGCCTCACTTTACTGAATTTAATGAAAATGGAGCTAAATGAACTGTATGTAAAAACGTAGTTGTGTGGGAAAACTAAAGTTTAATTCATGCATTTGAAATAAAAGTCAATCAGCTGATTCGTCCTGAAGCTCAGTCGGTCGCAGCAGTGAAGTAGAAACAGGATGAAAAGACAAAGCACATAAAAACATAAAAAGAAATTCAAAATACAAAATGAGTAAAAGTTCAAACAGTTTAAAGCTGAGTTCAGCTCAGAATCAAACCATCAGATGATGGAATAGAGAGTCTGAGACCTGCATGGGCTTCTGTGCTCATGCCAGCTTTTCCTCCCAGAGTTTAGTTGAAAGATGGCAGAGGCCATCAAACAGGAAGTGAGAGAGATTTTCACGAGTGCAGCTCATGTGACACAGACTTGATCAAAACATTTCAGACTTGATGTTTTTCATTCCACATTGTGACGCCCCTCCCATTGCTTTGGAGTTTGTCCTCGCTCACATGCGCAGGCAATTGGTTGACACAGGAGGGTCGTCAGCTGATGCTGTTGTTGGCGCTGTGCTCTGCCTCACAAGTGGGGCATCATATGTTGGGCCTTCAGTTGTTTGTCAACTTATTGGCTTTCATAGATTAAGAAAATATTAATATTATAAATTGTGATAATAAATAAAAACTTCTAATAACTGGTCACAGTATAAAAGCTTGGCCCGTGTGTTCACTTGTCCTCTCCATTCCAACCGCTGTCATCCATTTGTTTTGGTATATCTTTTGCTTTTGCACATACAACCCCTCCACAGCACATGTACCACTCATCCATGCACTGCTTGTTTTTTTGTATAACTGTGTGTGATCTCCCTTATTGTCACATTGATTGAACCAATTTGTGACAGCATTCAGATTTAAAGGAAGTCATGTTCGCAATTCTTTTCAAGCTTAGAGTCAGATCCAACATGGAGGATGTTTCCAATACTCTGCATGAGCCTGCTGTATCACCACTGTCTGATTTTTGATCACTTCTATAAGTGCGTGTGAGCTCAAGGTTCAAGCTTCATCTTTACAGTCATCACACAATCCAGGAGAGCACAGTGACATGCAGCTGGAACTCCTCTGTGCCACCTTTAGACAAATGTTGTCAATAAACACAAAGGAAACATTTCATTAGAATCACAAGAGAATCTGCTGAGTCTGAAGAAGCTACGTGACTCAAAGTTTCATTTCCTCATTAACGCAGTTGGTTTTAAATCGCAGGTCTGACTGCAGAAACTCATGACAAGTTCATATCAGGAAAACACTGAAATCCTGTTTGGGTATTAGTTTGTTACCGAAGGCCGATCTTTACTAACATTACCTCCTTTATGATCAAACAGAGACGGTGACCTCTTCTGACCTCTTCTCCTCATCTGTTCACTGTGCGTTTATGTGGACATGAAGATGATTGTCAGGTTGTCGGTTAGTTCCCTTCACTGAAAGATTTACCCAACATTAATCACAAGAGACACGGATCTATGAAGAATCATGTCACATGTTGTGTCGTGTCAAGACCAGTCACAAAATGCACAGGCAGGTTCCCCAGCATGCACTCCAAACCTGCAGGGGGAAACCACACAATTTGGTGCACCCGTGTGCACAGGAAGTGCTTCACAGGAAGCAAGGAAGGGGAAATTATAAATGTTTGGGAAGGAGCTCAAGTCACTCTTTCACCTGCTGCTGCTGCTGCTGAAGAACAATAGGCCAGCCACAGCTCATGTTCATCATTACAGACGCAACTCGTAGGACAAACCAAGTTATGTGCTTTGTAGCCTTTTCAGTTTGTATTTGTATTTGAGAGCATGCAATCTAAGTTGAAACTTAATTAATTTTGTGTTAGGTGAATTGAGTCATTAGTTGACAAATGAACATTTATTCTTTATTTTAGTCTTTCATATTCTTTAAGAAAATGTTATGTATGCATTTATTTGGAACTAATGCATATCTTTTTATTATCTTTAAGGTTTTCAACCTATTCCGTTCGATTCAATGCATTCTATTCTATTATTCCATCTCCCCATCTGGAAGAAAATAAAAAATCAAAAGAATTGAGTTGTCCTTTGCGTTCCTGAGATGAGCAAGCCATTTCTCAAGTTTGGGCAGAGTTGTGGTCAGCCGAAGAACTAAGAAAAAAAAAACTTCAAACAAAACACACAAAACTTGACAGTTGAAAACCAGCGTGGCAGTGAGGACAAGGATTAAAGGTCTGAAGTCAAGCTGTCGACGCAAAGGAGGAATTGACTGAAGATTCTTCACCATGGCGAAGGAAACTCTTGGGAAAACAGTCAAGCAACTGAAGCAGGAGAGGACCTTAGCTAAAGCTGCTTTTACCAAGCAGGCAAATTACCTGAGCAGAGCCACAGATGACATGATCAAGCATGAACTACAAGAGGAGTTCAGCAAGCTCAGTTCCCTGGCAAGGAATGTCAGCAATGCAAATGAAGACTACAGGGCTGGCCTACTGGCAGACACTGAGGCAGAAACTGAGGAGGGTGAAGAAGTCAAGCTTGGGAAGGACCAGCAGGCTGAGCTTCAAAGGACAATGGAGGAATGTGACGCAAGACTGGCTGAAGTCCGTGAAGCAGTCCGATCCAAACTCTGGCCAAGGTATGGTAAAGAGGAGGTAGGTTATGCAATCCAAGAAGCAGAAAAAGCCTGTGGGAAAGCCCATGCAAACCCCACCACTGCTATCAATAGAGATGGGTTTGAACTGCAATTGGAAGGAGCAAAGAAGCTAATCCATGATGCAATTTCAAGCCTGAAAGACTGGGAAAAATGGATCCCACATGATCAGGCAGCAGACCTGGAAGGCAGGTTAAAAGACCTGAGAACATTCGGCAGCAACCTCGAGGCCAGGAGAGCAGAATTCCTCACCGCACAAAGAACTGCAGAAGAGGAAAGAAGAGGAAGAGAGGCTCAACCACCTCAACCGATGGCAACTCAACAACCAGTGGTGAGAATAAAGCCAACCAGTCTACCTAAATTCACTGGGTATAAGAAGAATTTCCACAGATGGAAGAGAGACTGGGAAAGCCTGCAAAAGCAGGGAGAGCCGACCGGCTCAGTGGAGGTAAAGAAGTTCCAACTCCTTGACAGTGTGGACGAGAGAATATGCAGAGACCTGCACCTGTCAACATACAACAGCGCTGAAGACATATTCAGAGTACTCCAAAACAGGTATGGAAACAAGCCAACAATCGCCTTGGAAATAATTGAAGACTTGGAGAGGATCCCTCCTTTAAAGTCACACTAGCCAAGGAAGGTAATTGACCTGATTCAAGCTGTGGAAAAGGCCCTGAATGACGTCACGGAGCTTGAAAGTACTGGTGCCATCAAGAATCCCCTTGTGATCAGATCCATAGAGAGCAAACTGCCAGACAATATGAAGAGGGACTGGCTGACATTCATGGTCAATCCGAGAAATGGAGTCACACCTGACAATCACTTCGACGTCCTTCTTACATTCTTAAAGACACAAGAGGATATTCTAGAGAAACTAGACCAACTGGGAGTAAGTGAAAAACCTGAAAAGAAAGTTACTTACCTGGAGAAGAAGTCAGCCTCCACAAAGTCCACAAGGAAAGCAGGATGTGTTGTCTGTGGAGATGAGAGGCACCGTGAGAAGATCTTCTTTTGTAAGCAGTTCAAGGAACTAAGACCTGGTGAGAAGCTGAATGCTGTCGAAAGGCTGGGAGCGTGCAGAAGATGCCTCAGATGTCATGCAGAGGATGATGAATGTACAGACACTTACCTGTGCAGGAACAGAGACTGCAAGAGAGGAAGCTCCTCAGACCACCATTTCTTTCTCTGCCTGAGAGGAGGATTCAAGGGGAAAGACTCTGAGAAAGTGGGAAAACCCAGCACCAGGAGGAAAACGTTCACAGAGGAGCAGGAGGAATTGATATCTAAGCTCACCCCAGACATGGCAGAAAAATTCAGGAGAGCCTTCACCAACATGGCTGCAAAATCACACTGCACTGGAAAAAGCCTTCCTGGAGTGATGGGCTCAAGCACATGTGAGTTACCAGTTATCCTTATGCTTCTTGAAGTAACCACCAACGCAGGACAGAAAATTTGAACCCTCATTGATTTGGCATCGGATACCAACTACATCACTTATGACGCTGCCAGAAGACTGAACCTTCTATGAAGTTAAAGGACGCCGCTTGTACGTCCATGCGAGTCGGACGGCATGACCATGAAGGTAAAGGACCAAAAGAATACCTACTTCAAGGTAAGAGTGGAGACACCTAGAGGCCACACAAAAGTAGCTCATGAACTGATCTGCTATGGGTTGGATGAAATTGCAAAAGTAGCACAGAGTAAATCGAGGCACAACAACTTCAAAGAAGTTTCTTCCCTGACACTGACCTGGACGACCTTCACAGACCAGAGCATGTTGAGCTTCTAAATCAGCCACCTGTGAAGGAAGACTTGCTCCACAGAGGAAACGGTAGTAGGAGATTCTGTGTCCTTTTGGGAAAGCCCTTTAGGAAAAACCGTTGGCGGAGCACATCCAGACCTCTGTGAAGTAGTGGACATGACCCTGCACAATTCTGAGACTCACTTTGCCCGATCGATGAGAACTACAGCAGGTGAAATATCAAGATAGAGATTCTCTGAGATGCAAAGAATCCAGAGCTTGAGAACCAAAAGCAACTGTTGCTGGGAGAGAGTTCTTGGACTGGTGGAAGTGGGACAGCATTGGGGCGGCCTGTGAAACCCAGGTGTGGAGCATGTCGTGTGGTAACTGTCAGCCAGGAGCAAAGACATGACTTTGAGCGAGGAAAAAGAGCTGGAGATCATTCAGGCAAGGCCTCACCTATGTTAAAATCAGATTGAGCATAGTCAGGCAGCCTCACTGGGACACAAAATACCCCTGGATTGAAGATCCAAGTTCACTGCCCAACAACAGAAATGCAGTGGAGGCCACATTTCTCTAGGACAGAGAGAGAGCTTAAGAAAGAACCAGAGAATGCGCGCATAGCATTTACACAGCTCAGGTCCATGAGATGGTGGAAAGAAAAGCAGCAAAGTAAACTCACCAAAGAGACCGTTGCTTGTTCGAGGAATACACACGCCTCAACCAAATCACCTTCCATAGAAGCCTCACACCAGTCCAAAAGGATTGGAGAACCCTGGGGGATAACATTTCTCAGATGGAAGTGACCAGAGCTATGAGCTCGTTGCATACTTCAGGTGGGGAGACCCGAACAAGGCATCCTTTGTCGGCTTGTGGAGTCCAAAGCAAAGCTCACGCCACTTGACCAAAAGGGAGAAACCAGTGAAAGCTGAAGGTCTGTGGTGCTGTCTTCGCTGCAAGACTCAGGAAATACATTGAAAAGCACAGTCGGATGCAAGTAACGTTGGCTTTCACACCCTGCTGGACAGATCGAAAACGTACTAGGTGCAATCCAAAGAGACAGTTATGGGTACCAGACCTTTTTTGCAAACAGAGTGGGAGAGATCCAGAAGTCCACATCAGTTGAAGACTGGAGATGGATTCCAGGTGAGCAAAACATTGCAGACCTCATAACAAGAGGAGCAACCCCAGGAGACCTCAAAGAGGACTCTGTGTGGCAAAATGGACCAGAGTTTCTGAAACAACCTGTGGAAGAGTGGCCGACAAAGTCAGCTAAAGATGTTGCTGCATATGCCAAAGAAGGTATAAACAAGCTCCAAAGGAAATGTTTTACAGCAGCACTAACCCGAGCACAGGTAAAAAGAAACCAACAAGCCTCACCCGCCACTGCAATGCCAATGGCTCCGACCTCTGCCCTTTCTTCAAACACAGACCAAAGTAAGGACCTGCAAAGCAGCCAAAGTGGAGGAAAACACCAAATCCAAGTCCAGAGACCACCTGCTGGTTCTGCAGTGAAGAAAACCCTTGACATCAGTAAGTTCAGCAGTTTAACCAAGCTGACGAGAGTCATTGCCTGGGTGTGGAGAGCTGCCACAAGGTGGGAAGAAGTGCTGGCCAGAACCTCAGCCTCAAGTAAGCCAAAGAAAGAGAAAATTCTTTCAGCTCTTGAGATCAAGTCCAAGGTCAAAGAAGCTACACTTACCGTCAGGGAGTGTGAAGATCCCCTAGGGATCTCTTCCTTGCAGCTCAAGAGGAGGTGACCTTTTCAGACACCACGCTCAACAGGCTTGCTGTGGTCAGAGATGAAAATACTGGGCTTTTGCTATGTGGAGGAAGATTCCAAATCTTTAATGAAGAGAAGACTGCAGTACCAATCTTGCCCTGCACATCATGGGTATCCACTCTTCTAGCTCAAGAAGCCCACAAGGAAAATCATGAAGAAATCGCAGGTACACTCCTCAGGATGAGACAGAAAGCCTGGGTGATAAGAGGACGGAAACTAGCCCAGAAGATTGTTGACAACTGTGTAACATGCAGGAAAGCCAAGGCCCGGAGATGCCAACAGATCATGAGTGACCTTCCGCTGGAGCGAATAACACCAGCCAATCCATTTGAGTACACGACAGTGGACTTATTTGGACCTTATGAAGTGAAGGATGAGGTGAAAAAGAAGGTGAGACTCAAAGTGTGGGGAGTTGTCTTCTGCTGCATGGCGTCTAGAGCTATGCACACTGACCTTGTCAGTGACCAGTCAGCTGAAGGCTTCCTGTTAGCCTATCAACGATTCACGGCACTAAGAGGACACCCAAGGAAATTGTGGTCGGACCCTGGAAAGAACTTTGTTGGAGCCAAACCTGCCCTCAAAGAGCTCTACATGTTCCTGGGCCGACTAGAAAAGTCAAAGCTTGAAAATGAAGCCTCCAAACACAGCACAGAATGGAGCTGGAGGATCCATCCGGCAGACTCACCTCACAGAAACGGAGCCGCTGAGGCTGCTGTCCGTACTGTGAAGCGGGCTTTGCACAATCTGGGAGGTGATGGAGTCTTCACGTGGAGTGAGTTCCAAACTTTCCTTTATATGGCTTCCAACCTCGCCAATGAACGACCTATTGATGCCAGGACTCAGAGCAGGGAGGACTGTGTAGAATACATCAGCCCAAATTCACTTCTACTTGGAAGAACTGGACCAAGAGGGGATCCAGCTACCTTTGACTTTGAAGGTTACTCCTACAAAAGACTGAGAGCTATCCAAACAGAAGTTGACCGGTTCTGGAGGAAATGGAGCCAATTAGCAGGACCAAACCTGTTTGTCAGGACCAAATGGCACACAACTCACAGAAACGTGGCCATTGGAGATGTCGTCTGGCTGGCTGACCAAAACGCCCTAAGAGGTCAGTTCAGGCTTGCCAAAGTTGTTGATGTCAACACTGACAAAAAACACACAAAACTTGACATGTTGTGATTGGTCACTGATGGAACATTCCATTATTGATCATACTACTGTCACACCGCAGCGAGGTCAAGTTGGGTTTTTGTCCTGTCTCCATGTTTTGTCTTGTCATTTCCTGTTTTATGTTGAAAAGTAACTCTCCTCTCGTTTCAGATCACTTGCCCTTCCTCACGTGTCACCGGTCTGATTGTCTTCCCTGATTCCCGATTGTGTCCACCTGTTCCCCATTACCTCCATGTGTTCAAATAGTCTGCGTCTCCCTTTGTCTTGTTGCCAGTGTGTTCATCTTCGTCCTTGTCTACGTGCGTTCACCCCAGCCTTTCCACAGTCTTGACCATAGTCGTTTCATGGGTTTTTGTCTGATTCCTCCAAGAGAGAGATTTTGAGTTGTAAGTTTCATATCTTAGTTTTATTCCATAGTTAATGTTTTCATAGCCTTTTGTTTCCTCCGTTTGGAGCGATCCTTTGTTTACTTTTTCATAGATTAGTGCCTCCAGTTTTCAGGAGAGTTTTCTGTTGTCTCTACCTCATTTTGCTACTTCTTTTTCCTCCGTAGCGGGAGTGATTTTCTGTTACTGTTAACGTTTTAGATCGTCTTTTGGGTTGCCTCCTTTTAGTAGAGCGATTATTATTTTGGTAGTTTTGCAGCCACGCTTCTTCCATTTTGTAAGAAGTGCATCAGAGGAAAAATTTCATAGCCTGCTTTGTTTACTCTGTCTTGGAGTTCAGAACCTGTTTCCCTCAATAAAGACTTTTTATTGAAGAACCTGAAAACCCTGCATCTGCGTCCTGTGCTTTAGTCTGGTCGTGACAACTGGAGACAATGTGAATATTTCTGAGTGAGGATGACTGTAGTGCAGCTGAAAAAACTTAAAGATATAAAGACCTCATTTAAAAGTGCTTTCTTGGATACAGCTGCTGCGTGTAATCTGAACTTGTTTCAACAGGGTTTCAGCTACTGTGTTAAAATTTACATGTTGAAACACAGTCATTAATTATTAATGAGCAAGATTTTTAAGCATAAAAAAGAAGTCTAAATATTTACACTCAGTTTTAACTTTGACTCATTTTAAGCTGCACATGACAAGAATGATTCTTACTAAAACAGACTGTGAGGTTACAATCACAGATTGACAGTGTAAGTAAAGTGGGTTGATCTGTTGGATGATTATTTTCATCATGTTACAGCTGAATAAATAGATTCAAAGATTTCATGTAGACTTTATAGTCAGATTCCAGCACATTTTCATCCACTGGTGAAATGTGGCTCTGTTACATGGTGAATGAGTGGAGTACATGTTAACTACCACATGGTGAATTGAAGTATCTGAGCAGGTGTTTGTCTCCCCACACTCAGAGCCAACTTAACTGACTGATCAGCTGATCTGGAACAGAAGACTCTGAGTTTTTGTCTCAGGGTCAGAGTCAGAGTTTGTTAAAGCTGCTTTCTGAAACAGAGTCAGAGAGCTAGTTTTCTGTGCAGCAGCCTGTCACGTTTGGATTCTCTCTCCATGTGAAGTCTCCTGGCTGTTTGTGATGGGGACATGATGGTGGTGTGGTCCCTCCTCTAACTGTCAGTAGAAGGTGGATTTGATATGGCGTCCCTGATGTTTGTAGACTTTGACAGTGAAGTGATGATAAACTGACAAAAGCCTCACATCAAACTGACTGAAGGAGAATCAGCAGTGTCTTCTCTCTGTTTCCTCTACAGCTGAAACTACAGCGTCTCTATGACTGGATGTGAATTCAGCATCTGAGCATTGTCCAAAGGAACGACTGAATGCAGCTCTTCCAGCAGGTCTGGGCTCTGCTATGAATCAGTGTGAGGACAGAGAGGAGGGAGCCCCTCCCTCTAATACCACTCTGTGTGGGGAACATGAGAGCCAGACCAGAGCTCAGAGGGGAGTTGAGGATCTCTAACTGTCCATTACTCTTCTCCATGTCAGAGCTCAGCACTCAGATCACTGCTCCATCATTATTCACACTCACTGTCACATCAACCACTCAATAACAGCTTAGAAGAAATAATAATCAACTACTAACTGTCTTAGTGAACAAAGAGCCAACCACTGAATAGACACTTGTTTGTTTGCATCAGGATGCAGCAGCAGAGACCAGAGTCTCCTGATCCCAGCTGTGTGTCCATGAAGAGTGACTGGTCTATGGATCATCCTATTAAGTTTAAAGGTGGACAACCTGCTGATGAAAGGTAAGAATTTGGTCCAGAGCTTCATAGTCTGTTGTAGGACTGAACTACCTGCTCAGATATTCTTCTCCATCGACTCCACAGTTGTAAGTGAGACCCTGTATGACACCTATCCATACAAACAATGTAACACAAAGAGCTCTACAGAATAAAATCAATAAAAACAACCCTCCCCCATCATCACCTCACGCACACACACAAAGAACAATATATGACCAAGTAATAAATCAAAATTATACAATTTAGACAATAACAACAGGATCTGAGGAAACTGTCATGAATCTCATACATTTGCACTGAGGGAACACTGAACACTGGAAAGCAAAGATTATGGTAGAGTGACAAAGATAAAATACTGAAAATTATTAAAATGAGTAAAACCAGATATAAAAGTAGAAATTTAATAAATAAGCACAAGTAAAAGTAGGGTATTAAACGGAAAAACATCCAGAAAATAATAATAGAATAAAAGGACATACCAGTAAAACATCTTAAAATTTTGAAGATGTGTATTTATAGACAGGTAAATAAATAAAATAAATATAATTCAATTAAAAGCCAGACTAAAAGGGTAGGTCTTGAGTTTGCTTTTAAAAATATCAACATGTTCTGCTGCCCCCAGAGAGGCTGTTCCAAGGACGTAGACCGTAGTAATAAAAGGATGCCTCACAGTGGATTTTCGTTCTGACTTTGGGTTTAATTAAAAGAAGACCTGAGGGTTCTAGAAGATTCATAGGATAGTGATAGGAAGTGAATCTGATAAATAAGTAAAACTAAGATCATTAAGAGATTTAAAAATCAATAAAAGGATCTTAAAATCAATTCTGCTGCATATATCAGAATTATATTAATGAAGGTAGGCAAAATAACAGAAGCACCTCTGTTTTATGTGGTAAAGCTCAACAGCTACAAACACACAACCTCCACCATGATCATACAGTTGAATCAACAACTCTACAAACTACAAACTGAACATTATAACCTTCATGAAGGAGGATTTATTACAGGACTGTTGTATTTGACTACATCAGTTTTAGCTAGATGCTCCTAATAAACTGACAACAAGTAGTAATTATCAGTTGTATACACAGACTGCAAAGTGTCTGAATTAATTGATTTCAGTGCTGTTCTCCCCAGGGAACTGATTCACCTGGCACTCTAAAGATGCTCTTTAATAGTTTTATCATATATTATTATCACCATATATGGTTAACATGTTTTACCTCTCCCCCCTTTAAATGTAACTAATTTAACTGACTGACTTTGTACTTTAATTGAGAGCATATTTACACAGTAATTTTACTTCTACTGTAGTAAAATGTCTTTTCAGTAACAGTAGTTAGTAACTGTTTACCTGCTGACTTGCTGCAGTCAGTGTCATGTCCAGTTGCTGGGATTTCTGTTACTGGTAGCATTTATTGCTGCTCTGTCTGAACACAGTTAATGTTGCTGTTTTCTTCATCACAGTGTCTAACTACCTGCTGTACATTTAAACTTACACTAGTTCTGCTCCAGCACTCAGAGCTCTCTGCTCCTTTTAGCAGCTTTCACTAACTCAGCCGCTGTTTGCATGCTGTTCAGATCTGCTATACTTTAGCTTAGCAGTAAGCACTGGCTTCTCTCCCTCTCTCTCTCTCTCTCTCTCTCCTGGTGTGTCTTGGATCAACAGATGAACTTGTTCTTCAGAGTGTGGTGTTTTTGTAACTTCAGTGTAGAGGATTGTGATGTTTATTACATCTTCATGGTGTCTGCTGTCTTACCTTCGACACACAGCTGCGCTTGCTATCCAGAGCTGCTCTAGTCTGTTCACAGACTGTGCACACAGCAGCCTTCAGTGTGATAGGCTATTACTGATGACCAATCAGATGGTGCTGTGGGCGGGACACTGTTTCAGACCACAGAGTGGTGACTACAGACAGAATTTTGTATCTTTTTTCAACATCCTCTCTTAAGAATAAAGTTGTGACAATGGGACAACCAGTCTTATTTTTTGGCTGCATCTACTCACTAAAGCTATGACGCAAATACATTTGAAGGCCCATGATTAGTATTACGTCACTGGCTAGAGGTCAATGCATGATCAACATGGGAATTTAATTGTGACTGTGAGTTACCAAGTAAAAAATTAGCTTAAAGATGAGCAAACTACAACTGAAGAATCTGCTGAGTGCAGCGTGAGCACTGTGTCTGCTAATGTAAGTGCTGCTAACATTAACGAGATGACAGAAATTCGCAGCGAGCTTCATGTACATGATCCCCTGGCTTTGCAAAGTGATGAGCTCGGGTAGGAATCTAGAATTGCAACTGCCCCCATTAATGACTATTGTCTAAATCCAGAACACTCAGTTGTTTTGTCACAGCAGCAAATATCCAAGGTATGTGATACATCAGCCCGTCAAGATGATATTGGCATCGTAAAGGCTGATGAACCACCCTCCAGGGTGGATAGCCCCATCTAAGGACATCTTTCTGAAGCAAGGCAAAATTCCATAGGACTTTTCTGATGAGAGCCTTTACCCCACTCTGCTTTACAGCAAAAGTGCTGATGGTGTTTTTTGTGTAGCTTGCATGATTTCCTCATCAGGAGACATTATTCTGAGAACGAAGGCACGTACTGACTGAAGCAATGCAAAGAAAATCATTTCGAGACACTTAGCAACACCAGCATGTACAAGTGCACGTAGCTGAATTTGGTAATGTTGCCTCAGGGAAGAGCCAGTCTATAGCCATATTTCGACCAAAAAGTAGCATTCTCGTTCTTTCGGGCCACGGAGTAGGGCGACCAGATTTCCCCGATTTCCGGGGACAGTCCCCGTTATTGGTGGCCTGGAGCTGTGCCCGGAAATGTCCCCGTTTTTAACTGTGAATTAAAAACAGACTGGAAAGACAGGAAGCAGAGCAGACAGGTAAACACCTCCAACCAGGACTTAAATTGGGCTGGAGCCAGTTATTCAGACCATTGGGGGGAAAGTGAGGAATATCCGCAAATCTTTTATCATTTATTTCCATGCTGCTCCTCTCGTGCATGTAGGTGCACTCACTACGATGACGCTCTGTGTCTGTCGCTCTGAAACTTTCTCAATTTAATAAACAGGTTTTTTTGGTTAGTATGCCTTTACAAAATAATGATTGTGCCTCAATACTGACTTGGAAGATGACCCTGTGAGTGTTGAGAATAGCAACCCTCAGGTTTAACATTGTTTAACCAGGTTTAATTATTCAGATCATACTATGATGTGTTGTAAGACTATTTCATTGATATAAATTATTTGTCTAGTTTGAGCTTGTAATATTATATTATGAATATTTTCAAATATGACATATAACAGACATTCTTCTAATAATCACTTCCTGTCCTGACCCTGTTATAAACAGTTTTTGATGCATTCTTCTATCTCAGTCTAACTAATCTAGACTAGTGCAGGGAGCTGTTACTTAACTTAATCCGAGAGGTTAGGTGGTGTAAAAGTGCAGGAAATCTGTTTTAAATCAAAATATGTTTGTCTGGGACCCCCCGCTGATTATGTAACTTCCAGGTTTGCTCCCCCATTTTAAAAGACATAACCAGGCGTCCAACCATCTCAGTGCATTCCCTCACAACAGAGCAGTAACCCTGATAACTGTGTACCAAATAAGCTGCCTGCTTAGGTAGCTGCAGTTGTTGGTGACACCTTGTCGACAAAAAAAATTAGTCAGAGGGACATCAGAGGACATTCAGGCTTTTAACTTAAGCTGTAATCCTGACTTGTTCTCATTAGTGAGCTGAGGAGTGAGTCCCTGAATGGTTTACTGAACTATATCTGTGTCTAAGACACTGTAGTCAGCAAATTTACCTTCCTTTCCCAACTAATAAGGTTTTCCAAACCCTGGATGATTGCTCTGCTGCCCAGGACTGATGCTGTGGTCACTGTGAGGTCATCCATGAACATCCTGGTTGCTGGCTGTTGCACATTGTTTTTGGTGACAGTGCCTGTGCACTCATTGGGCCTCTAGGACCTTTTAACAAGGTGACCCACCTAAGACTAATGAGACCCTGACTTGTGTCCTAGTATTACCATACAACAGATCACATCTTCTTATCCATCACCATCTGCAGGCTTTTTCAGCAGGTCTGGTAACAATCATTAGCCAATCAGAGGCAGTGCAAGGCGGATCATGTCAATTTTATGGTAGGATTCGTAAGTTTACATCCTGCTGCTGTAGCATTGATAGATAATCGAAAGTTAAAATCACAGTTGAGGAAAAATGTATTGTAGATTTTTTGGCAAACCACCAGCTAAAGAGAGCACAGCCAGCCACCCATCTTCAACTTTCCGGCCAAACGTTTTGGGAAATAAAATTTCATCCATGCATTAACACCAGCTTGGTTTGCTAAATGTAGGTGGCATCATTACGTGATTGAGTGTGGTCAGGCAGATCCATTGGCCAGCAAAACTTCTACATCTCCCTCTATGTGTCCACAGCCAGCTCTCCATCCCTTCCTCTGACACTGCTCTACCAGCTCAGGATGGCAGCTGCTTTGGTCAATGGGGATGTTTGTAGTTCTCTATTTAGTTTTTGAGATGAGCACAGATTGTTGCTGAACCACCTCTTGTGAAACATCCTCATTTCCTTCTTGCCTTTGACTCATGACCGAGTCTGCCGTCCTCATTTCATCACTGGAGGAATTTGAACTCATCAGTCACCTCTAATAAGTTATGTTATATTTCATTTATTTTCCTTAAAGTTGATGTTTTCTCCACAGAGTTCAGCAGGAGAGCTCAGAGGTCCACAGTGATCAGTCTGTCCAGCAGCATCAACCAGACCTGGACTCCATATTTACGGTCTGTACATGTACAATCACACTTTTACTATTTAATTAATCAACCACAGGTTAAATGCTGAACTACCACTCAGGTTTCAACAGAAACCATGCTGCTCTGTTTCGACCAGGAGGCCTTCAGACTCACACATGAATCATGTTTTCTAAATAAACATGTTAATTTTATCATCTGTTCCAGCTGCTGGAGGAGAACATTGCCACTTTTGTGAAGAACGAGCTGAAAAGAGTCCAGAGGGTCCTGAGACCAGATTACACAGAATGCTCAGAGAGTCAGAGGGAGGATGAGGAGGTGTTGGATGGTGAGGATGAAGAACAGAGGAGGAGCAGCAGAGAGGCATTTCTGAAGGTCACACTGAACTTCCTGAGGAGCATGAAGCAGGAGGAGCTGGCTGACTGTCTGCAGAGCAGTAAGAGGATTTCTCTGAAGATTTAACTTGATGGATAAACAACACATTTACTAACATCACTATTATGTTAATCCAATAAAAATAATAACCACCAGGTTAGATGGAGTAATCGACACACACTTAGAAAAAAAAGCACACCCAGACTTATGTTATTTTCAACAACTAAAACTGAGAGTCAAATGATATATTCCAGTTGACTTTTCTCAAATTAAAACGTGAGCCCGGTCAGAAAACTGTTGCTCGTTCGTCTCTAACTTCCCCTCTTACAAACACCAAACCCTACTTATGGGCTGCCCGAGCCACAGACACAGCGGGCTCCTATCCAGCAATCAACACCTACAGAGGTGAGCATCGGGCAATTACTAACACAAACTTTAAATGCTGCTTACACAGATCTAAATAAAGGATTGATATTGTAGTGTGTCTGTCACAGTTTAAGGTATGCTGGACCCAAATGCAGACCAAACACAAGGGAGTAGGTGGAAAGATATAATTTACTAACAGAAAAACACAAGGAACATGAACAGGAAAGTAAAAAGTATTTCAAATTCATTATCCTGGGCCCATACCAATCCACATGGTCATTCTGTTTTTCCTCCTCTGATGAGGAGTTCTTGCACAGATTGGTGCACCTTGATGAATTATTCAATAGCTTGTTTGAATATGACCATGCATTCATTGACATGATCAACATTTCCACCTTCCAGAAGCAAAGCTTTTATTTCATTAAGTTTCCTTGTGCATGCTTTGCAGTTTTCCTCTGCGTTTTGCAATGAGTGATTTTAAAAGATCCTCTGCTTCAGCATCGCTCTTAGTTTGTTTCTGACATTTTTTTTAAATATATATTGGGCTGGGTCACTGTTTAGCCCCATTGTGCATTCCCCCACAATTTGCAGTGTGTTTATTTGCACAGACATCTCTCATACCATGTTTAACTTCCATTCATGACATCAACAAGAGCAGACCCACAAAGTCATGTGTTTATTTTATTCATACAGCGCTTTCTTTTTTATTTACATCCTGTCATACACAGACAAGATCCATTCATTCTTTGGTTTACTCACGACTGATGCATTCATTCATCAAACTGGTAAGCGTGTCCTTCTGTTCCACAGCACACAGCTTATCTCTGCAACCTTTCCTTCACACAGTGATCCAGCTGGTCCATACTTTGCCAACCAAACCAACAGACTTTTAGCAGGTTTTCCGACTTATATCATGGTTATTCCAATAAAAAAAAAAGTAACCTCCAGAGGTTAGATGGAGTAATTGACACACACTTAGAACAAAAAGCATGCACGGGCTTATGTCATTTTCAACAACTGAAAATGAGATTTAATAAATGATATATTCCGGTTGACTCTTCTCAAATTAAAATGTCAGAAAACTGTTGCTCACCATTCTCTAACTTCCCCTCCAACAAACACCGAACCCTACTTATAGGTTGTCTGCGCTGCAGACATAGCTGGCTCCTATCCAGCAATCAACACCTACACAGGTGAGCATCAGGCAATTATAAAAACAAACTTAAAATGCTGCTCACACAGATCTGAGAAATCTACTTGTTTAACTTTAAACTCTTAATGGTTCCAACAGTCACAAGAGGTAGAGGGAAATATATTAATATACTTATTCTTTATGGGAATGAAATGTTGTAATATTGACTTTATAATTTATTTATTTATCTTATTTGTTCTTTATTCATCTAGAAAGTCATGCTACAATTTGCCAACGTAAACTCAAATCTCACCTGAAGAAGAAGTTCCGGTGTGTGTTTGAGGGGATCGCTAAAGCAGGAAACCCAACCCTTCTGAATCAGATCTACACAGAGCTCTACATCACAGAGGGAGGGACTGGAGAGGTCAACGATGAACATGAGGTCAGACAGATTGAAACAGCATCCAGGAAACAATTCAGACCAGAAACAACCATCAGACAAGAAGACATCTTTAAAGCCTCACCTGGAAGAGATGAACCAATCAGAACAGTGATGACAAAGGGAGTGGCTGGCATTGGGAAAACAGTCTTAACACAGAAGTTCACTCTGGACTGGGCTGAAGACAAAGCCAACCAGGACATACAGTTCACATTTCCACTCACCTTCAGAGAGCTGAATGTGCTGAAAGAGAAAAAGTTCAGCTTGATGGAACTTGTTCATCACTTCTTTACTGAAACCAAAGAAGCAGGAATCTGCAGGTTTGAACAGTTCCAGGTCATGTTCATCTTTGATGGTCTGGATGAGTGTCGACCTCCTCTGGACTTCCACAACACTGAGATTCTGACTGATGTTACAGAGTCCACCTCAGTGGACGTGCTGCTGACAAACCTCATCAGGGGGAAACTGCTTCCCTCTGCTCGCCTCTGGATAACCACACGACCTGCAGCAGCCAATCAGATCCCTCCTGAGTGTGTTGACATGGTGACAGAGGTCAGAGGGTTCACTGACCCACAGAAGGAGGAGTACTTCAGGAAGAGGTTCAGAGATGAGGAGCAGGCCAGCAGGATCATCTCCCACATCAAGACATCACGAAGCCTCCACATCATGTGCCACATCCCAGTCTTCTGCTGGATCACTGCTACAGTTCTGGAGGAGGTGTTGAAGACCAGAGAGGGAGGAGAGCTGCCCAAGACTCTGACTGAGATGTACATCCACTTCCTGGTGGTTCAGACCAAACTGAAGAACATCAAGTATGATGGAGGAGCCGAGACAGATCCACACTGGGGTAAAAAGAACAGGACAATGATTAAGTCTCTGGGAAAACTGGCTTTTGAGCAGCTGCAGAAAGGAAACCTGATCTTCTATGAATCAGACCTGACAGAGTGTGGCATTGATATCAGAGCAGCCTCAGTGTACTCAGGAGTGTTCACACAGATCTTTAAAGAGGAGAGAGGGCTGTACCAGGACAAGGTGTTCTGCTTCATCCATCTGAGTGTTCAGGAGTTTCTGGCTGCTCTTCATGTCCATCTGACTTTCATCAACCATGGAGTCAATCTGCTGTCAGAAGAACAATCAGCCTTCCTGTGGTTAAAACTGTTTAAAGACAAACCTGAACCAACATATTTTTACCAGAGTGCTGTGAACAAGGCCTTAGAGAGTTCAAATGGACACCTGGACTTGTTCCTCCGCTTCCTCCTGGGTCTTTCACTGCAGACCAATCATACTCTCATACGCGGTATGCTGACACAGACAGGAATTAGCTTACAGACCAATCTGGAAACAGTCCAGTACATCAAGAAGAAGATCAGTAAGAGTATCTCTGTAGAGAAAAGCATCAACCTGTTCCACTGTCTGAATGAAATGAATGATCGTTCTCTAGTGGAGGAAATCCAACAGTATCTGAGATCAGGAAGTCTCTCCATAGATAAACTGTCTCCTGCTCAATGGTCAGCTCTGCTCTTCATTTTACTGTCATCAGAAAAAGATCTGGATGTGTTTGACCTGAAGAAATATTCTGCTTCAGAGGAGGCTCTTCTGAGGCTGCTGCCAGTGGTCAAAGCCTCCAACAAAGCTCTGTATGTGCATATATAGATCTAGATTAATTAACTTTGTCCTTATGAAAGAGAAAAAAATTAACACATTTTCTAATTGGTTTCCTTTGTCACTCTTCAGGCTGAGTGGCTGTAACCTCTCAGAGAAAAGCTGTGATGCTCTGTCCTCAGTTGTCAGCTCCCAGTCCTCTAGTCTGAGAGAGCTGGACCTATGTAACAATGACCTGCTGGATTCAGGGGTGAAATTGCTGTGTGTTGGACTGGTGAGTCCACACTGTACACTGGAAGCTGTCAGGTTAGTGTTTTGTTGTTTTTCTTTTAAGATCCTGACCTGTATTTATTAGTATGTGAATTTAATTTCTTGAATTGCTTTTCAGACTGAGTGGCTGTAACCTCTCAGAGAGAAGCTGTGATGCTCTGTCCTCAGTTCTCAGCTCCCAGTCCTCTAGTCTGAGAGAGCTGGACCTATGTAACAACGACCTGAAGGACTCAGGAGTGAAGTTGCTGTCTGCTGGGCTGGAGAGTACACACTGTAAACTGGAATTTCTCAGGTTGTGGTTTGTTTGTTTTGCTTTTAAAACCCTGACCTGTTGGAAATCCATTCATTCAATCGAAATTCATAAGTGAAGATACTGTCTGCTAAATTATAGTCCCCACACTGTACACTGGAAGGTCTCCAGTTATTTTTCAGCTGTTTTGTATGCTTGGTTGTTCAGCGGTTGAGAAAATTTAGTGGAAAGGAAAGTGATAAAGCCCTGAAAATATTCTATATGAAGCAAACATTTCAACGGATATTGGATTGTTTTGGTTTGCATTTTTCAAAATGATCTAAAACACTTATTTTTGTTGACCCCCTCTAGCAGCACATCACTCAACTAATTGCTGCTTCCTTTAACTGGTAGCAAATTGATCCAAATCTTTTGCAAGTAATACACTTGCATGCATGCATGCATGACTACCTCACACAATCCCATGTCAAAGAACTCGAACTATGCATTTGAGAACAGTTTCATCATGTTGAGAATATGACGCAAAAGTCAGCCAAACACACAGCTAAGTAGCATTAGATGTGGTAGTGTGGCATTAAGCAACAGGTGAATGAACACAAGTAATTTGTGTTGTGAATGATTTCACTTAATTACTTGTGTCAAGAAAATTAAAACATATTGGAAACATCCATTCAGAGGAAAAGCAGCAGTGCAAGCAGAGGTCAAGCAAAGCTAACAACTATAAAAATGTAGCTAAGCTAGCTTTCATTTCAAGCAACACTGGAGGTAGTACAAGCTATCCAAATGTAACAGACTAACTACTTCTTGCTGAAAAGGTGAGCCACAAACAGACAAATCTTGCTGTTCATGCAAAAACACATATTTCTGCACATGTTCTCAGAGGGACAATCATAATCATAATCAACAGAACATGTATACATGGGAAAGGCAAATTCCCATGATCCCTCCAGTATCCTTGGAAAGTTAAAGACCTGCTCATCATTTCCAGGACCTGACTGAGTCAACATTACTGCATCTGAATCAGCGTTTTTGACGATTGGCTATCACCTTTTCTAGCATAAGCTTTCCCAAGGAGGTTTATAAGTCCTATATAGTGATGGAAACACGATTTTGTGTGTGTGTGTGTGTGGGTGGAGTTTAGTCTGGCAGGCTGTCTGGTCACAGAGAAAGGCTGTGCTTTTCTGGCTTCATCTCTGAGCTCCAACCCCTCCCATCTGAGAGAACTGAACCTGAGCTACAATCACCCAGGTGACTCAGGAGTGAAGTTGCTGTCTGCTGGAGTGGAGGATCCACACTGGCGACTGGAAACTCTCAGGTATGGACAGATGGACAGACTGCAGCAGCTCTTAGACAGTTTCTCTGTCTCTCTGACTGACTGAGGAACTCTGATTCATGTTTCATGGTGGATATGAGTGAAGGTGGATGAAGTTGATTCTGTCTTTGTTTCTTCCTCCAGGGTGGACCATGGTGGACCACAGAGACTGACACTTGGTGTGATGAAGTGTGAGTGTGTTACATTTTATTTGCAGTGGAGCCAACAGAAAATTGTTTTTCTTCTTTTTGTTTTGACTGTCAGTGATTTCATAGAAGGGGATTTTTTGCCTTCAGATGCTGCTCATAAGCTTGTTGTGTTCAGGAAGCCTTTCGTTTTCTTCTCTGGATGTGATTAATAAATCAGTATTCAAAAACCTACAAGTCATAAATTCAACAGGAAATTATCAATGTTAAGCTGAGGTGGATTTACCATCTGATTCCTTCCTGAATGCAGACCTGGGGCCAGATGTGGGATATAGCTGCATACTACATATTTCACTTATAAACTGGTATTTCTATAAACAGAATGTATGCACATGTTATGTTCCCTGTGAGAAACCAGGAGCTGTGGGAAATAACAATAAGTGTAATAATAAACCAAGCAAAACAGAAATACTCAGGAAGACAGATTCTGCAAATAAATAATGGATTTTATTCACAATAACAAACTATAACAAAAAACCATCAGTTGAACACTGGGTAATTTAAACTGCACACAACCAAGACAAACCAAATGAACTATAACCATATAGGATCACTATCACTATCAGCACTATAGCGCCATGCAGCCATGCATCAGCTGCAGAATAGCCCGCTCTGGCACTGACCAGGTCTCCTCACTCCACCTTTATGCCCTGGCTCCTCATTGAGGAACAGGGATCAGGTGTGCCAAGTCACCTGCTGAAGAAAGGGGGAGGGCAGAGGGCTGACCAGCATGCATACACACACACACCACAACACTACGACACGTTACAGCATGTCACACAAATGTTTGCAAATATAAACTGCTGTTGGGGCTGTGCTCTCCCTCACAAGCAGGGCACCATATGCCACTGTGGCCACATGGACTGAACAAACACAACTACTGAAGATGGCGGTCGACAAATTACTGCTCTTTGTTAGCCTAGCTCATCTCGTCTATAAGGTGCCAAGTTAGAAGGAGAAGGTTAGCTGTATGCAAGCCCTAGAACTGAGATGTACTACAGGTATGTGTGTGAACATTCAAGTACCCAATTAACTGTGTGACTAACCAGTACCTAAGCAAACATTACAACAACACATTAACAAAGGTTAAGAGTTCTTCTGCTTAGCTGTGCTGTGCTGTGCTAGATGAGGTTAGGCCCAGTCAGTTAACGTTACCCAGTCCTTAGAACAAAACAAAGAGGTCTTTTCCAGTGTTATTGAAGACTCCAGTGAGTTGGGTGGCTTCCTGGTGGAGTGAAGTCCTGTCTGGCTGTGTTGCAGAGTAGGCCACTGGTTTCCTCTTTGTTCTTCTTACAGAGTTAGCTGTTCCATGATAACTCTGCTGTGGCTTTGGTTGCTCCGAAAATCAGCGGACAGACTTGTCATAGCTACTAAAGTAAACTCCACTCGTGTCGCTGCTGTTGAAGAGCAGAGTGAGAAAGAGTGCTGCGGTCTGCTGTGAGCAGGCCCACTAGAGAGCTGAATGTCTCAGGTTGCAGTGCTGACCTCGGCTGGAGCCTTGTCACTCTGTGAAGAGCCGAAATGGAAGAGGATCTGCTGCTTCTGAGCAAGCCAGGGAGAGAATAGGGGGTCACATGTCACACACTGACCAACACTGACTGGTCAGTTAGGTCCCTGGGGGAGGGTCATCCTCAGATGTGAATAGTGAGGAGTTTTGTGGAAGTGAGTGTCTGTTGTCTGTGGAACAAAGAAAAATGTGATCTCTACCACCTTGAATGTACTGAGTCCCAACACTGCAAAATGCAAAACTTCAAATAACTTAGACAAATGAATTGAGTGGTTAAATTGTAGATAATTTATCCAAGCTTGGCCACATTAAGTGTGAACTACAGAAATAAGCATTGCAAAAATAAAGCGTCTATAACTGTGTGTGGTTTCTGAAGCAGTCCTCCCTGAAGTGTGGGCTCACACTGTAATGTTTGGAGCAGTGGAGGGAGCCGTGGAAAAAATGAAGTAGATTTCTCTAGACAATTGAGAAAATGGTGTCTTTTCAGCATGGCTACAAAACTAAAGAAAACTCTTCAATGTATAAGTAGTTATGTGCTGTGCTATGTGTGGGGGTGTGCCAAGCTTGCACGGGGTGTCAAGCTTGCAGGTGGGGAGCACCCAGGGACGTATTGGCATCAAAAGGTCTAACAAGTAAGGTCTGGACCCCCTATGAGAAGGGACCAAATGGCTGGTTGTGGCGCGAGTGATCAGTCAACCATATATGTAGCCAATAATTCACATATTTGACATTGCATGTGTAGCAGCTATCATGTTAGCAGCTTTATTGGTAACTATTACCAGGTCAGTGGTTGTAAGAAGCCATTCCTGTGCTACAGTCTGAAACATCTCATTCATTACTCTAGTTTGTGAAACACAAGACTCAAGCCGGCAGTTGTCTGTGAGCGGTAAAGATGACAGATGACTTGCTGTCGTCAGATTGCTCTTGATGCCCATGCATCGTATGTTAAGGCTACTCATGTCAATTTCTTCAAAGCTTCTGCAACTTAACCTTTGTCTTTTGGTATAGCTAAAGTACCGCTCTATCAGTAAAAAGGTGATTGGATGGTATAGTATTCCTGCACTCAACTGTGTGTACCATGTACCAAAAGCCTTCATTATTCATGATGCTATAGGGGCAAAGGTCTTTGCAAATGAAATAGGCTATGGACTGAGTTATTTTATTTGCCTGTTCAGAGTTGGCTGGAAGTTTAGACCATTAATGCAGACTGGAATGTTTACTACTTCAGGTTGTTCGTCCAAGTCTTTAATCTCTGGATGATGGTGTATCATGTAAGTCCTCAGTTTGTAGTGTTTCCAAAATACTTCACCTCCACTTTTGCTTTGCAAAGTCTGCATATAACATGGGTCTTATCAAACTCCTTCCCCTCGAGGTTATAAAATCTGAAATGTTCCCTGATGCTTGCCTCTAATGAAGATAGGCCAGTTTAATTACTTTTTCCTTTATGTTTCCTATTGCTAGCAGGTTGTCACTCCATTGCACACACTGCACTTCTTCTTGCCCACAGCAAGCAGGAGTATCTGGGAAGAAACGGACACTGCACCCTCTGTAGGATTGGCAAGCTAAACTCATGTCTGTCAGGAAAAATGTAAACCTGCAGTTACAAGACTGAAAATTAATATGAATCGATTTTTTGGAATTTATGAATCTATTTTTAATTGGTAAAGACAGAATTGTGATTTTAAAGGGAACTGATTTTTTGCACACCCCTACTCTGCCGAATTCAATCAGCTGGCATGAAAGGATCTATCTATCAGTTCTCTCTGTGTTTGAGCTTTGATCTATCTCAACCACACATTCTGATGAATGTCCCAGAGGGGGGCTCTTGAGCAGTTTAGATGGAGTATTGAGCTGGAGAGGCAAACACTGGATACATTAAATGTAGCTTTGGAGAGAAAATGTCATGCTCATGGATGCACATTTGCTTTAAAACAAATCTTAATTGGTGATTGTCACATCATCATACATAAATATTTAGGGATATCAAAGAATTTTTGACCCCAGTAGTGCAGTCGGTTGACCACCTGCAAAGTAAGATTTCGAAAATGTCTCAAGGTATGAATTTAATTTCCAGAAAATGGGGACTGTGAAACAAACCCTAAAAATATCTGCACTTTGATCATACCTGTCCAAGCTGCCCCAACCAGTGATTGGCTGGGAGGGGCCCAGAGGCAGCGCCTCCAGTTTACTATGTTGTCCGGTATGAAGGCTGATCTGTTTTGTTGGAGGGCAGGAGACGGTTGATGAGAAATTGTCCCGTTAAACTACAGTTTCCATTATTTGGGAAGACGGAGGATGAACCAGATCACCATTTGGAAAAGTGTAAATTTTTTTCTGTCTTTAAATCCACTGACTGAGGAGGAGTTAATGGCTACCTTGAGGAATGTCCTACTCTGGTGGGATGTGGCTCGTCTAGACACACATTCCTGGAGAGACTTTCAGGAAATGTTCCATTCAGCTTTTTTGTCTGAGGACTATGAGGATGTACTGGCAGAGAGAGTGAGGACAAGAGTTCAAGGTAAGGGGGAGAGCATTCGTGATTTTGTTTATATATACTGCTCCCTGGTCAGAGGTGGAAGCCTGGGACAGCAACTGGAAAAAGACAGAGAAAGTCAAATTTAATGTGAACTACAAAAAAGACAAGTGATAAAACAAAAAAAAGGGGAAAGTGGATTTGTTGATCCCTGATCTTCAGCCACAGAAGAGCAATACCCCCAGCATCCTCAGGTCCACACTAGAAAGAAAGCAGAACATTGCTGACATTTTGGCTCTTGTGTTAAGTAACTGTTGATGAAGTTATAACTGGATTGTTGGATTTTAATTGAATTGTAGTCAAACATTATTCACAGTTGAATATAAATGTGATGTAATGTAAGTTTGAATGATTTACGTTCAGTAATTGTCAGTAAAGCTGTTGATAAATCAACAGATGATAAACTGCAGCTGTGTTGTGTCTTGTTCTCTCCATCAGACGCCTGTGAACTGGAACTGGACACAAACACGGTACACAGAAACCTCAAACTCTCTGACAACAACAGGACAGTGACATGGGTGGAGGAGGATCACTCATATCCTGATCATCCAGCAAGATTTGACTTCTGGCTTCAGCTGCTGTGTAGAAATGGTCTGACTGGTCGCTGTTACTGGGAGGTCGAGTGGATAGGAGAGGTTCATATATCAGTGAGTTACAGAGGAATCAGAAGGAAAGGAAACAGTAAAGACTGTGTGTTTGGAGGAAATGATCAGTCCTGGAGTCTGTACTGCTCTCATCATGATGGTTACTCTGTCAGGCACAACTACAGAGAAACATCCATCTCCTCCTCCTCTGTATCTAACAGAGTAGCAGTGTATGTGGACTGTCCTGCTGGCACTTTGTCCTTCTACAGAGTCTCCTCTGACACACTGACCCACATCCACACCTTCAACACCACATTCACTCAACCTCTGTATCCTGGGTTCAGGATCTGTATTCATTCCTCAATGTCTCTGTGTCGTCTGTAGGTCTTAGAGTCTCTCCTGGGGACAGAAACCCTGCTGACTGCAGGTCAGCTGCTGAAATCAAAGTTGACTCTGTTTACCATCACACACACTCTGCTCTGTGAAGCTGATCCATCTCAGACTCAGACACTAAACATTAATTTGTCTGATTTCATCACTTTGACAATCTACATTTTAACACTAATATAAGGATTTTCATGATGTATAATAATTATTTTTGTCTCAGTTCCTGAATGTAAAGGAAAAATATCTACTGTTAGCAACATGTTTTTAATTGATTGATTATTTGAGTCAAAATATTTTGATATTCAGGATTTAATAATCCAGGTCGGGATTGAAAGGATTTGTAGAAATGATTAATCAGACCAAATGTTTCATCGGAAGTGGAAATGAAATGAATATATGTCATCAAACGGTACAGTTTCTAATTCAAATGTGATGATTAGACTCTCCTCCTCTCTCAGAATATATTCTCCATGATACAGATCACACAGAGAAAAAACATCCTCTTCAATAACTGTTTTCAGTCTGATGTTGAATCTGATAAACCAATCAAATCTAAAGTGGGCAACAGCACAAAAAATAGTAACACACAACATGATTCTGAATAATCTGATCAAGTGGCAGCATGTTGATTGAGGCCAAGAAGAAGGCCAAGAATGGAACGTTGAAGAACACATCATCTGGGAGACAAACTATGTGGTGGTTCCTGACGTGGCTCTGGAGGTAAAACATGTCAGGAATTCCCCACAGACATTTTTCCTCCGCTAATTTTTTCCACCTTCCACATTTTTTTTTCTTTTTTCAGTGCGGCTCTTGTATTGCCAAGGGTCTTAGTTGTTTGTATGTGGAGGTTTTCAGCTGTTTTGGAAAGGGCAGCATCTTTCTGCAGAGCCCTGACAGCAGGAGGGTTGTGTGACTGCTTCCCTCAGGGGTCTGGCGTGATGACCAGATCACTACCTTCACTATGAGGGACAAAAAAGTGACGCAAGTATAAATAAATGAATAAATAAATAAATGCAGAAATAAATAATTAAATACATATAAATCAAAAATAAAAACATTTTGGTAATAAAAAAAATGCTATTTCTGTATTTTTACATGTATTTATTTATTCATGCAAACCTTAGCTATTTTCCATAAAGGACAGTCACAGTACTGCCCCATAAGAGGCAGGCACCTCTCTCTGCATCTACTGTGCTGAGTGAGAGGCAGAGCAGCACACTGACTCCACACAGAAGCAAACATAAATATGAATGAGCTTCTAACCTTCTCTCTGCATGACCATTTACAAGTAAATTTAGCACAGGATCTTTGCCTTTAGTTTGCTACTAGCCACTTAGCTAAACTGACTTGTTCAGTTTTAGAAATACAGAGCCAAATCTTAACATATACTGTACATACATACACAGTAGCTTCATTATCTCACTTTACAGAGTAACCTCACAACATCCTAGAGAAACCCAACAGCTCCCTCCTCGAGCGGCACTTGGCAACTGCGGACAGAAGAACAGAATCAGACTCAGGGTGGACGGCTGTCTGCCGGCCAAGCTGAGAGGAGAGAGATGAGGGAGGGAGGGGAAAGAGGAAGGAGAGAGAGGAACAGCAGCATCCAAACACCATCGAGCGACGGCGGCAAAGACTGGGTCTCTCTGGAGGTTGAGCGGGAGGACAGCGGCGAAGATGGAGCCCCTCTGGAAGGGCTAAATCTAGTGTCAAAGTCATTAAATTGGCAACACTGAAAAAGCAAAGCTCCTGTATCACTTGAGGCAGTAGTAGCAGATCCATCCAATCACTATAACCAATCCAGCTTTAGATTGAGGTACGACCACCCATCTAACAAATGGAAACAGAAAAACATATAAATAAATGTAGAAATGTAGAAATAAATAAATGCAGAAAAATATAAAGAAATAAACAAACAAATAAATAAATGAATTCATAAATAAATGTAGAAATGCATAAATCAAGAAATGTAAAGATATAGAAATAGCATTTTGTGAAATGGATACACTCAGGATACATATTGTTTAGTATATTTCAAAGAAAACTTCTCTCACATTCTTATATTTCCGACAGTGTAGTAGGAAGTGAGATTCTGTCGCAACTTATCTTTTATGACAGAGTGAACACAACCTGGCCTCTGGTTCCTCCTGTGACGGCTCTCTCTCTCTGTCTCTCTCCCTGGATATTTCCTGATTGTGGTAGTTCGTTTTTTTAATTTCATCTTTTCCCATCCCGACAATACTGCATCATATTCTATCAGCTCTTTATGTGTTTTGGATGTAAAATCTTCATTTGTGAAGTGACTTGTAACCAAATGTGAAATGTGATGGAGTAGAAGTATAAAGTACCATACTCAAGTACAAGAGGGTTAGAAAAGATCATGGAAACGCATCACAGAAATACAAAAGAGAAGAGTTTATTGAAGTGAGTTTGGAAGTGAGAGAAATTTTCAGGAGTGCAGCTCATGTGACACAGACTTGATCAAAACATGATCAGATTTAAAAGAAGTCAAGTTCCTGACCCTTTTTAAGCATTTAAAGAGGTTTGGAGTCAGATCCAACATGGAGGATATTTCCAACACACTGAGCCTGCTGTGTTTTGATTTCTGTTCCAGCTAGTGGACAGATGGTAGAACTGCATCATCTATGGTGTAATTTCACTGACACTGACTGAGTTTCTGCCATAGTTTTGACGTCACTCTGATGTTTTTTAGATTTGAATTCTGAAGTTATGGGCGTGTCTCGTCCTCAGATCAAACACACACAGACACCACGACTGATGAAGGAGAATGAGCAGCTTCTTCTCTCCAGATGCTTCCTCTACACATGAAGGTGGAAAGTGTCTGTAAGTCGACCTGAAGTGAGTTGAGCAGGTGAGAATCCTCCAAGAGAAATCTCTTAATGTCTGATGAAAAGCATCACTTTGACCACATTGTGTTGTATCACTGTTTGACGGGACAGAAGAAATGTTTTCTAGATGATATGTCCTTCAGTTTTTTATTGAAGAGTTTTAATCTTCAGAGTTTCCCTCTGAGTGAAAGCAGAGTGGTTTAAGAAGGATTTTCATGTTCTACTGTTTGCAGCAGTTCTCCTCTGTTTTTTTGGAGGGAGTTTTGTAGCCTGATAGGAGCCACTGCCAGTCTCTCCTCCGGGTTCCACCCCCAGTCTAACAGGCAGACTGAGCGGAAGAACCAGGAGATGGAGACAGCCCTTCGCTGCACGGTCCTCCCGGTCGCAGCAGCTCCACCCAGGACCTACCCCTCCGGGTGGAATCTAAGAAACTGGCTCCCAGGTTCATCGGCCCATTCCCCATCCAGAGAGTCATCAGTCCAACAGCGGTGAGACTGAGGCTCCTGCGCACCATGCAGCTGTGAAACCACAGTGGCTCAGTAGACTGCTCGTAATAAGAGGTGCAGCCCTAAACCCCTGATTGGCATCCATACACGTCCCAGACCTGAACCAGGTTCATACCCAGTCTTGTTTGAAAAAGTCTGTGAATCTAGTGACAGTGCATTAAGTTGGCAATAATGTAGGTTGCAAACACCCCCCTAATAGAACCTGTTTGCATCAGAAACTCCAACTCAGTGATGAGACACTCAACTGACCAGTAGTGGAAATATCATCACTCAGTCCAGCCAAAAACATCGACAAGGTCAGATCAGGCAGAAAAAACTCTGAGAATGCCAAATACTCAGGCCTGATGTTTGGTGCATACTCACAGACAACAGTCAGAGTCTTCCTCTCACCAAGACTTAGTGACATAGATTCAACCCTCTCACTGTACACCTATGTGAAAGTGATGAGATGTTGCTCACCATGGGGCTGCGAATGAATCAATAAAAGTCAAGAGTACTAGAAACAGCTGTTAACAGTCAACCAATAAAAGCACAACTTCACTGCTGTGTTTGAACCAACACAATGCTCCATTCGTGGCAGTTACATTTAGTTTTTTTTTAGTTTTGTTACAGTTGTGAGCAACTAATGCTGATTTTTAAATTGCATCTATGAGTATGAGGAAGGTCCTGTTTGTGCAGTGTACTTGTATTACCTATGTTGTGGGGACATCAATCTCTTTACACAGTCACAATGGGAAGACTCAACCTCATTTGGACACCACCAAAAACAAGTCAATTTATCTTGATGTATTGCCAACTTCCCAGAACCTAAAACTCTGGGTAAATGGAGACCCGCTATGTGCATTGTGTTCAGGTACTGCAACTCTAAAGCACATTTTGTCAGGCTGTAAGGTTAGTCTGTCGCAAGGCCGGTACACGTGGCGACATAACCAGGTTTTAAAAAGCTTAGCTGCAGGAATAGAAGACCTACGGAGGCAGGCAAATTTAGGAGGGTCTAAAACAAAGAGAGTTGCAATAAAGTTTGTTCAAGAGGGAGAGAAAGTTGGTAAGACAGCAAGGAGGCAAGGCAGCTTAGAGGATGCTTGTGATTGGGAAATGCAGGTAGATTTAGGAGGAAAGCTTGTTGTTCCCCAGGAAATAGCCAGTACAAAGTTAAGGCCTGACATAGTCTTGTGGTCTAGGAGTAGAATGAAAGTATATTTCATAGAGCTGACTGTTCCATGGGAGGCTTCAGTTGAAGAAGCATATGAAAGGAAAAAGCTCAGGTATGTAGAGTTAGGGGCAGAAGCAGAGCAGCGAGGATGGAAAGTTAGGATTTGTCCAGTAGAAGTAGGACGTAGAGGATTTGTAGCAAGGTCTGTTGTCTCTTTGGTAAGGGAGCTAGGAGCAAGTGGACAGAGTGTGAGGAAAATAGTAAAAGACATGTCAGATGAGGCAGCAAGATCCAGTCAGTGGATTTGGATTAGAAGAAGTAATGGTAGCTGGGGGCCCAGCAGGGGGAGCACTTAGGATAGACAGACTCTTAGGAGAAGCAAGGAAGAAAATCCAGGAAGAGGAAGTGTTTTTAAGTGGAGGGTGTGGCCTGTGTGAGCCTCTTTGAGACCATGCGGTTAGTTCAGGTGAGTTGGTTTGTTTGTATTGCTCTGAATTGGTCTGTAGTGTGTCTCTGACTGTCTAGGCGAGTTTGTTTGTTTTAGGTGAGTTGTTGGAGAGTGGGGGAGTAGGGGGAGGTAGAGCACAGCCTAACCCGGCGGGGGAGAGCTAGCCCAAACAGGCACCTCTCCCTGACTCTACCTCCCTCATTCAAAATGGCCGCCATTTTCTCCAACTGGTTAGGGGAGTTTGTTTGCTGAATCTGCTGGTGTGTTTTGTCCTAGTTGATAATGTTGTGTGTGGTAGCATAGGCAAGGTAAAGGAGAAAATAGTTGTGGTGTGAGGAGCAGTGATGGCTGGCATTAGGGGAGTGACTCTGGGACGCCAGTGATCACTGTCTAGCCTCCTGGAGGTGTCGTGGGACCAACTAGACGAAACACTGGTGAAAGGAGGTTCCCA